ATTGTTATATCCTTTCCAGCATACAAACAATTTAGAATATCGTTTTACAACGCTAATTCGAACGAGAGATGTCGCCATTGCTTTTTATAAATTTTAAAGTTTTTTTTTATGTGAAAAGTTGCCAAACGAGCAGACGGTTCACCTGATGTTAAGTGAATACCGCCGCCCATGGACATCTGCCACACCCGAGGGTTACAGATGTGTGGACAACCTTTTGAAAATTGGGCTGCGGCTACCTCACTCACCAGACGAAACGCGAAAGTATTTGTCATACTTTCACTTTACGCTGGTCTTCTGTGAGTGTTTTTTATAGTGCTAATCTCTGCACTTAAGAGGACGCGTTCAAACAGGGTAACGGTTTTTTTAATAAGAAGAAAAAGATAAAAAGAAAGAATATCAGTGTTTGGGGTAAGAGTTCCGCCATTTTCGGCGGGGAAGCTGACGGTTAGCCCAGCGTTGGAGCAATTAATTTTGATGAACATTGTATCCTAGACGACACATTATTTTATCCAATCTGTGTGATCGTGACTTTATCTATTTTATGATGTAATAAGTACTTAGGTTTTTTTTATCATGCCGCAAACGATGTCAGGTACATGACACTACATGTACTGACTTAGCAAAGATGATGATGAGACGGCGTCAACGACCTACGTTCATTTTTATTATAATTGTCGTCACCTGATTTAAGTTTTGTTTGCTTTTAAGGACGAATTTGAAAATCTGGAAATATCGGAAAAATTAGCTTTTTGGTGCATTTTATGGCAAAATTGAAAGTAAATTAAATGTAATCAATAAATGTTACAAATAGATTACTCCTTCATCTTCAAATGGTAGTATTTTTAGTAGTTATTTTTTACAATATTTTGGTTTTAAATACTATAAATAAGGATTTTTATCCCCTCTTCACACAAAATTGACGATATGTTGTCGCGTTTAGGAACATTTTTCTTCAATTTAATAATAAATTTATTTATTTAAAACATTTTTTGTAAGCAGATGTGTTGAACTCAAAAAGATAGCAATAATAACAAAATTTTAGTTTCTTTTACTTACGGATTTATCGCGTTTATTTTTAACCGACTTCAAAAAGGAGGAAGTTATTGTTATACAATTCGGATGTACTTTATATGACTTTGCAAAGTTCTTTTTTGTTCGAAAGGATTTCATTACGAAATGTTCCCAAAATATATATTTCATATAGATCTGATTATTTCGCCGCTTCGCGCTTGTCACTGTGTGTGAGCCGTGTACATAAACGCGTCCTTTTGCAAATGCCGAGTAGCCTTAAAAGAAAATCCTTTGTTATTCTAACGTGCTTAAAGTAAAACTAATTCCCGATAAAAAGCGAAATGTGAAGCTTGGTAATATATGTAATTATGAATTTAAAACAAAACAGAATAAATCTTTACTATTTTCATTTACTGAAAAAGGCCTTTCTTATCAATTGCCTGTCATTCATGCGACTTAAACGATAAAGAAAGATTGTCAAAAAAAAAAAAACCCGTTCTGCAATGAAATAACAATTTCGAACATGTTTTGTGTTATAGTACTCGACAGTGCAAAATAAACGCCATCACGTGTAGCCGCGTTAAATAAATTTAAAGATTAGTATTTGTAGCATTCGCGTATGTGTCGGAGGTGCCAACAGACTCTGAACTTTCGGTTTTCGCTTAGCATTAACACGATATATAAGTCAATGAAATAAAAAGAAAGTTTTATGAATAACTATTCCCATTATATATCTATTTAATCAGGTAATACAGATTCGGCACAGACATAAAGATAACCATTTTCTCGAAACAATTAAGCATCCATCAGTTATTGCGTTTATTTTGGTCTTTTATTATTTTGATTCGCTGTTCATATCGCAATCATTATTAAATAGATACTTTATCTTACTTTATTCTATTTATGGCATCTATAATTGTTTTGATGTTTTTCTTTCTTTCTGCTTTAGTTATTATGGCCAAATGCGAGGAAAATCTGTATCCAAACTGCAATAGCAATGTATTTTTAAGATCCTGTGAAGAAGAAGTCATACAACCCATGAGAGGGATCACAACAGGTTAGTTAGGTGCATAAGCATTATGTTATTTTATTCTCAAGGGCGTTTTCTGAAATTATAACGCATAAGCTATTCTTATGTTTTGTACTGAGACAAGGTCCATTTACACGATGCCATTTTCTTGTACATACAAGAGCAATAATTAAATTGTAAGCAACAGTTTACACGCAGATATATTAAAAAAATTGAATGCGGTTATTGAATGCAAGTCTTGACAAGAAATAATTGCAAATGTCTTTTGTTTACACCAATACAATTATTTTTAGGTGATCATTGCTTTCAAGTTTTGACTTGTCTAAACACATGCTTATATGTGCGTGTACAATTTATTGGCGTGTTGCTTCAAGTATTGCACGTATTTGCGTTGACAAATTTTTCATTCAAGTGTTGAACGTTTTAAAAAGGGCTGTTTATTAAAAAATGGGTCATTAATAAGTGTTTAAGTTAGATTATGCCGATTTAATATATTTCCTTGAGATTTATTTATTATTATCCATTTTTTATCCAACTTTTTTACTACCTTTTCTCAATATTTCTTGCCTCAAAAGAACAGCAACGATTACATCCTCACACCCTCACTCATCGCACTCATGTTTTCAAAGAAAGAGAGAATGCAATTGAATACAAGAATTGCTTAAGAAATTATTGTGTGTGTTGTTTTAAGGAAAGTTTTGAAACAAAACTTGAAGCAAGTCTTGTTCAACAGTCAAGAATGTTATGTATTTTTTAGACCATGCAACTCATTTATTGCTTCAATTTAATTCTATACAACAGGCAAGAAACTTGCACCATGTAAATGGGCCTTTGTACATGCATCTAAATTCACCAATTAATTCTCATCGTCCAGAAATTAGTCCAAAAATTAGTCCCAGTGAACTATATAATAAATTCAAAATCTCCTTAAAAGACTGCCAGGAATCTCTAACGGATTAGTTACTCATATCAACAAGTCGGTTCGAACAAAGGATGTTTGTTACCTCCACTGTTTAGTCCTGTTTATAAATAGAAATATTGAAAGACACCAATTATATTTATAAATTTATATTCACCAAGTGTATTAAATTATATTCACTATTAAAAATTATATTCTCCAAGAACATTCATAAATTTTTACGTTCATTCTGTTTTTGTGTTAGATACATGTGTGTGTTAGATATATTTATGACAATTTTAGGCAAATTGCCATCGTGGTTGCGTGGTACTTTGCTGCGAAATGGTCCAGGTTCAATTAAAGTGGGCTCGATGCGATTTGAACATGTTTTTGACAGTTCAGCTTTATTACACAGGTATTGTAATCATTAACAATATTTATACGTTTATTACTATAGATAAATTAGTTGTCGAGTCACCGTCGTTATTGATTATTCTGGTAGATGGATATCGGTTTTGACTCATGCGCTTTCATTTTTTGAGTTAAATATTGTTTTATTCCATATCAATTTGGAAGAGATATGGAAACAACTTTGACAATGGTAGGGCCAAGCAGCAGCCTTGGCTGGTTCGTCCGGGTAAGTACCACGACCTCACAGAAGGCCGGCGTAAAGTGGAAGTATAATACTTGCGCGTTTCGTCTGGTGAGTGACGTGACCGGAGCCCATTTTCAAATAGTTGTCAACGCATCTGGAACCCTCGGGTGTAGCAGATGTCCATGAGCGGCGGTATTCACTACATAACATCAGGTGAACCGTCTGCTCGTTTGGCAACTTTTCACATAAAAAAAAACAAATTAATGCCCAATTATATAGATCGTCCTTAAAATAAAAATACGCTGTCGTTTTCTTGGGTTGTTTTGATTATAAATAAGGGCGGGTTCAACGTTCGATACCTACACGACATTTGTTTTTGGAACATGGCATAAAATAATTTAATCAGTGGCTCAATCTTCAATTAAAGTTCGGGTCTTATTTTTTACATAAGGATAATAAATAATCTAAGAGCCCGTGAGCGCCAGACCTTCGTCATTTTATAAAAGCTGAAAGTTTGTCAGCGCATGCCCCCAAAACAGGTTAGAGCGATGGACCATTATGCAGTTTGGGTTACCTGGGTTTTGGGAGGTAAACGGTATTAAAGGTGTGTAAAATACCGATCAAATATACCTTCATCAAATAATAAAGTGGGACCTTCAGAATACTATTTAAAATCACGTTATTCATTGCCACTATTGCCAGACACTTTACATAATGGCAAACGTTAATGTTCATGAAATTATAATTTTACTTACGTTATAGTATAAAATCTGATTTTTATATATAATTCTTGGGTAATAAGTACCTATCTCTATATCTATATCTATACCTATATCTATCTCTTTTTTTCTTACAATCAATGCACCTACTTAAACTTCTCTGGACCACCCAAAGGTTGACTGGTAGATAATGCTGATGACATTAAGTCCGCCTCTGTACATATTTTGTGTGCATAAAGTATAAATAAATAAATAAAATACCTACATGTTTCCTCCTTAGCCAGACATTTTTGATAGTTCCAACCCCTTGCCAGACAAAAAAACAACAACAACATCCAAAGCCCAGGTAACCAAAACTCCGTAATGGTCCATCGTTCTTACCTGTGTTGGGGGTAAGTGCTGAAAAACTTTCAGCTTTCATAAAATGACGAAGGTCTGATGTTCACGGGCTCTTGCTATAAAAGCTAGACTATCAGACCCTCTTGTTATATTACGTTTAATTAAGCCAATGCAAACTAAAATTTCTTAATCTTTCTCTTGCATTTATCCTGTCTAGGTTGGGTCGGCACAGCATGTGAATCATGTTGTTAACGGCTAGTTTTATATGACCTATAACGGGCCTATGGCCAACCTTCTGGGTGTACTCCTAGAGCCGATACAGTTATATGTGAGTCACACAGATACTTGACCCGTCTGGGAATCGAACCCACGACTCTCGTCACCGAAGCCAAATGGTACAAAATTATAATGGATAAAGGAACGTTATACAATTACACATACAAGCTTCTCCTTAACAGTTTTACAATCTCCGATGCGACTGCGACGTACCAGTGCCGTTTCATCCGTACCAATACATTCATAAAGAATCGTACCGCAAATCGCATCGTCGTGTCGGAGTTCGGAACAAAGGCCGTGCCAGATCCATGTCACACGATATTCGACAGGTTTGTTTAAATTTCTCATACGTGACGTAGTTAGCGTACATTACTTTCAGACGCCTCGAGTTCCCTGATTTACACTTAGATAAACACGATTTTTTCGTGAGAGTATTTAAGTGGGATGGTATGCAGTGGATAATTCGTAACCCAACGTTACAGGTTCGAAACTTGTGACGTATTTGTGCACCATGACTATCTTATAACTGTTTGGATAAAGGCTAACTAGATCAAAGTAATCATGTACGCGGCGGTGACAGCACAAAAAGAGATAAAAAATACTAATAAAAAAAAGAGTACAGACCATTAGTCTGTAGAGTTTGTTAACATATTAACAAAAAAAAGAGATTTCTAAAATAAATAAAAATTGAGAGCCGAGAAATAAATTGCCTGCGCGAAATTTCCGTGTGACTTGTGTCCACAAAGTATTTATTAATTTCAATACCTATACATGATATTGACATCGCTATCACGTAATAGCGTTAGCACAGATAATACCAAGATAGCGTTTATGCTATTAATTCCACGTATTGTCGCAGTGCTTTTGCAGGCCTTCTCCCCTCTGGAGATATTCACAGTACAAGTACATTTTGTCATCCTCATTCTCTTTCCTTTCACCATTTGTCAAGGATATCAGTATAATTCACGTATACACTTACATGAATGTCTGATTGTGCCGGCTAGAACCGGATTTAAGCGAGAATATTTTTGTTACGTTTATCATATTAAAATTTATTTAATTTATAAATAAAAAATATTTAAATAACAGAAACGGATGTTACCTTTATCTTTCATTGATTGGCAATCAGCAATGTTTGTATGGTGGTCTTCTGAATGTGTTTTGCTTACATTTTATTTAGTTGGATGTATATGGATATTTACATATATTTCAATGAAATAACTAATAATAAATCAGAATTATTCATAACTTATGTGGTTTAGTAGTGCATATACGTCATGGAATAAGCTTATATTAAGAGTTAAAACGTAGTACTGACTTCACATTTGCAAACTTCATTACGCAATAAAATGTTATCTTATAAATTTTTTATGTCTTTAAAAAATGAGTTGTATAAGTTGTTACATTTATAAAATGTACTGGATACAAAATTGTTGATGAAGTATCTAAATAAACGCCTACATTAACTTATGATACATCCCATAAAGAACAGCCTATACATGTCCCACTGCTGGGCAAAGGCCTCCTCTATACAGAGGGTATCAGGGCATAGTCCACCATACGGCCCCACTGCGGATTGGCGGACTTCACATATTTTCGAAATATATTTTTTTTGTTATTATTTCCAAAATATGCAGGTTTCCTCACGATGTTTTCCTTCACCGCGGTGCACGTGATAAGTCAGCACTTAAATTTAAAAACTTCATTGGTGCCGGCACCGGGGATCGAACTCAGGTTGCTCGAGTATATTGAATTAAAGGCGAGCGCCCGGACACTGAGCTATCACGGCTCATATTTATGCACAATTCATTGTACTCGATGATAAATTGATAACAGCCACTACAGGAAAATATTGAGTATTACAATACGTAGTGGAGCATCGTAGTATAAGCTATATTATGTCTTGACTGTGGTATGATATAGTATTGGCGTGAAGTGGAAATATTTTTCACGTGATGAGTGAGGTAACAGGGAGCTTTTAACTTTTGACAATTGTTCAATCACAGTTGTATTGAGGTTGTTCACACAGGTGGCGGCAATGATCTAAGATCAGGTGTACTGCCTGCTAACTTGCTCATCGTATCTAGTAAAAAAGGGCTACCATGAATATATTTGTTCCCGCAACTAAACTGACAAAAATAGTTTACCCACATACATGAAGTACTTTATTAATATTGAAATTTTTATAATCAAGTATTACTTTACGTTTAATGTAATAACTACCCCATCCCTTACTTTATTTTATTATACATACGTAGCTTTTAATATATTTTTATAGCCCCTTAGACAAATTTTGATACTATGTTGTATGTTTTTTATATTATTTAGGGTCGCCGCCATCTTTAAACCAAACGAAAAGCTGTCGGATAATACAATGGTGTCTGTGTATCCGTTTGGAGACGAAGTGTACACATTCACTGAATCTCCCATTATACATAGGTGAGTAAAGTTTAGCATCTAAGACTTAGAAAGCTAAAATAGTAAGAATATACCAATAATTGATCTGTGGTAGGGAAACGTAACAGTCTCCGCTGTTGCACGAATAGGCAGGTCCGTCCGGGGAAGTATCACAGCCTTACAGAAGACCGGCGTGAAATGGAAGTGTTATATTTCTTCGTCTAGTGAGTGAGGTAACCGGAGCTCACTTTATTAAAATGTGTGACAATGCTAAATACTTACTTAACAAATTATTTTTATTGACTCGCAAAATATTTGTAATGCACACAAATATGTTGGGTTCGAGAAAACATACACACTAATATAAATAATACATACATAAAAATTATATTAAATACATAATTATAGTAATTAATATTCACATTAATTGCAATAATATTCAGTATATTCAGTACAGAAAGTTTGTATTACATTTCGACGACCCGATTGGCGTAGTTGGTAGTGACCCTGCCTCTTGCTCCAGAGGGTGTGGGTTCGACCCGCACTACTGGATAAATATTGTGTGATGAACATAGCCTTTCTCCAGTGTCTGGGTGTTTAAATATTTATAATATGTATTTATTTACAAAAGAAAAGTATGTTTCTGTATGTTTATCAATTATCTAGTATATATATAGTAGCCACTTTATAAGCGTTGCTTAGTTTTGAACTAGAAAACGTTGTGCAAAAATGTGTCCTGAAATATTTACATGTAGTATATACATTTAGTTCATATCTTAATCACATAATATTCTTAATACTTTAGTTAATTATTGGTTTTTATTATAACAATCAATTTGCATACAATGCATGTTATCTTGATTTGTTTTTGGGTCGCTACTGATATTATCATATTATACGTAGTTACCATCATCCATACTGATTAAAATTTCCACTTTGGTCGATGATAATTCTTTTTGTATATGCATTAGCACTACGCTAATGCATATACAAAAAAAAATAAGTGATAAGATTTTGTTGAATCTTTGATAATTTGGTCAAATAATTTACCAGTCATAAGTCGTATCATATATCAAAAAAGTAATAAATGGCCTTCGATGCAACTCTGCAACGAGTGGATATATCACCGATAGATTCTTAAGCTTTGAGTTCTTACGGACGCGCGAAACAAATTTATTATTATTTGCTGTTGTTTAACGAATTTCTGAAGTTTATATAGCCTTTATTTGATGATTTTTGACATTAAGAAAACATTCGCTAGGAAATTGTCATCACTCATTTGTGATGATGTTACTCTGACATACTCTGCCTATACCACTACCAAAACTGAATTACACCACATGCCTTGCATTTGTTCGTTGTTTTAAAACTTATAGTTTGTAGCCACAACGATGTTTAATAACGTAAATGACGCATGTCTATCTGCGCTGCGTTGAAAATTGTTTCGCTTTATGTTATATGAAAAATGTGAATGTGACAGATGATATAGAACGAATGATATGGAAAGAGATAGAAAGGTATATTATAAAAGAACAATAAAGAGCCCCGGTACCAGCCCGAATAAATGTTTAGTTGCAATTTAAGGTCCAAATTTAGGTATAAAAAAATATGTGTGTACTTATTGTACTCGAACGCACGTAAGACGTTATAATTTTATTTATCCCCTGTGCTAGAACTCTTTTTTGTGAAAAGACAATAAATGCAATTGATAACGGTTTAAATAAATAACTTTGAATAGGTAAATGTCAAAAAGCTGTTATTGGCGGCCATGGTAATACCGTGAAGTTAGTCGAAGTTGGTCGCCTTGCAACCTACTTCATAATATCGCTATATGACTGTCGGTTTTGGCGCGCGTATCGTAATACTTTTAATTTTTTTCTAAACGCCCCAAAAGAATTATGACTTCAAAAAGGAAGTTGATGTAAAAGCCTGCAATGTTGACTCGCACTTATTTAACAACTGTTTGGTATAAAAACTATGTTCATTACTTACTCCTTATTTTTAATATATTATAGAATAGATCCAAAGACACTTGATACGTTGGATCGTAAAGATTTAACGAAGAGTATTGCCATTGTCAACCATTCTGCTCATCCACATGTACTACCAAACGGTAAGTAATTGGCAGAGATTTAAAAAATACACAAATTTGACTTTATTGTCTTATATGTTTAATGTCATATTTTTGCCTTTATTTTAATACTGGTTTATGATATAATCTTTGATATTTTAACTAAGTACACTATTAGCAATATCAAAAGTAGCGTCTAGTCCTCAATAGAGATTAATAAGTTTATTGTATGTCATGTTATTGGACCGATGAGCTTTTGTTTTTCTGTTTCTTATTTGAATATCACCACATCAGATTTGTATTTAATGTGTAGTGACAGACTTAAATAAACTGAACATTAATATCGTCCAAAAACTATCTGTCACTTTTGCCCGTTTCGTCGTATAAAGTTTGACAGTTATTTAATAATCAGTTTTTGTTTAAAAAAGATTATATTTATAATACAGACATTATTAACGTTAAAACCATGTACTTTATTCACTTATGAAGACTTTCGGACGATAGAGAAACATAAAAATTGCAATAATTGAAAAATAATTTAATTGCTGATTGAATAAAATCGGCGAACACGCCCAGATTAATAAAGTATGTCTTGAAATTTTACATCAAGAAATACGGTACTTCATTGTATTCAACACGATTTTTATATGATCGTTGATGTAAAATAAATAGATATTGTGTGGACGTATAAAAGAAAATACAATAATGTTTTTAGGTGATGTCATCAACATCGGTCTCACTGTAACAAGAAGCGGAATACGTCATGTCATTGTAAAATTTCCTTATACGAAGAATGGTAAGCACTCTACGATTTTTCTTTCAATTTTGACACTCTTTAAGGCTAAATTTCTAATCTAATGTCAATTCCCTCTTTCTAGGTGACATGTTTGAAAAAGCATGTATAGTTGGCAGTATGCCACCCCGTTGGAAGTTGCATCCCTCCTACATGCATAGTTTTGGTGTGACCGAATTCTTATTATGTTTTTGAAAAAAGATTTATCAAGCCACTTTGTTGAGCCCTAAGGCGCTGTATGCATTATAAATAGGTTTTTCAAAAGATTTTTTTTAACAAAAACTACTCATTTTATAGCAGCAAAAATATGTTAATCTTGATCTTACATTCTAATGGACCATTGTTTTCAAAACATATTCTCAATATATTTTCTGGATAGAAAAAAATCATGAAACTACCTCTAAAAGAGAAATTCAAATCCAAAGATGAATAAAATGTATCAACAAATCTTATGGAATTAATATCAGTGGTGTAGAATATTTTAATAATAAGGATTATTGTCTTAATTTCTTGATTAAAGTAAGACATTAATTTAATTCATTAAAATTAATTCGAACGTGACGACCAAATCACTTCCATTTCCACACGTTGCACAGAGAGCGATGCTAGATAGCTCTATGCCGCTCGTCTTCCTCTCGCCGTTACGAAATATGTTCCGTATTTATGTATTATTGAGAGTTATAATTTTATTACATCTTTCGAAAACACGAAACCTTAAAAATGTATATTAATAACAAATAATTAAAAATACAAAAGCGTAATTTCAATATCTTATCTTGTGATTGTTTATCAGTCCTATACATACGGTGGACCATCATTCTATAGGGATTGGGTTCAAATCCCTACATTTCTTTGTTATATTTTTTGGTGATTTTCTTTTTTGTAAATATTTTTTCTATTTATCATTTAGTTGTAAGAAATATTATTGTATTTTTTGAACGTAGAATGCAACAGTTGGACAACAATCTATCAGATAATAAACCAACTTTTTATTATTTCAAATTTTTAAAAAGTCTAATATTGTATATTGTTTTTAAATTTTTTATTTAAATCTTTAATTTTTCACCCTAAAACGAAAATTAATCATTTATGAGCATGAAAAATAATTGTTTTATAATGTTTTCATTAATTTATTTACTTAACACATTTTATGAAATAAAAACAAAATAATTGATAAACAAATTAAAATTGGAAAAAGATGTACCACTCAATTAAGGTTTGAATTTAGAACCACAGTAATTGTTCACCTACCATGACGCTCGAACCAATAGCCTACACGATGTCTGCGAAAGGTAACAAAATTTCGATTCTAGTTATAATTGTTGTCGTTTAGCGATATAAGGTATTTTATCGATAATTTTTTAAATATAATTTCATCGAGGAATTGATATAATGTAGTAAGTCTTTCACATTTAAACAATAAATTAAACATATAAAGTTTAAGAAAATATGTAATAAAAAAGTCGTATTCGTAATTCCTGCCGTGGAGACTATGATATTGCCTAAAATTTTTATGATCTATTACTTTGAATCAAAATAAATAGTTATTCGTTTATTTATTGTTTTGTTGTAAGAAATGTCATTTGCCTTTATTAATTTATTTGACCTTAAGATGTATTTTTAATCAATTCTAATCCGTTTCCTGATAATTTAAAATAATTAATAGGAAGTTTTTCTAAAATTGTTGATTGCTTTCTTATACTTTATATTTGTTTGTTTATTATTATTCCTAAAACAATATACAAGTAAAATACAATCATGGTCTACAAAAGATATTATAGGGACCATCTGCGTACATTTTCGAAAGCCTTCCATGATTCTATCGATATTATCCTACGGCCTACCACAAACACACACTAGGTGTATGAATGACTTGGTCACGCGGCACGTCGACGAATCTCGCGCGTTGCGCCCCGCTAAGCGGGGTTATCCTTCCTCCGCTTCCTCATACTTCACCACCAAAATAGTTAAAAATTCACTGCGTACAGCGCCTTAAGATGTCTTAGCATATCACATAATAAATAGACATTTAACGAAAATAATATAATAACTTTGAATATAAAATTATCGGTGGACATGAAATAAAATGCTATATGCTAATGCTACTAAGAAGACCATAAACGTGTGCCGTACTACATATATAATCAAATGATATTGAATCTTTATTTAATACGATAGTTATATTGAAACGAGTGAATGATTTATTGTGTAAAAGTTAGCTGCATGTGTATTATATTCCATTTTTAGGAGTAACCGAAAATTACTTCGTCTTAATCGAGCAGCCAATGGCAATTTCAGTCTGCGAAGTGGCAAGGAATATTATAATGAATAAAGCATTCGCTTCTTCTTTGAACTGGTTTCCGGAATACGAGGTAGGTAATCATTTCTCGCAATTAAAATATGCACTATTTATATTAATAATTATATATTAATATACTGCAATATGTTTCTGCAAACTCTAAGTATTGAATGCACAATGTATCAAACATTCCAAATTTCTCACCAAGAATTTAATGGTGATTTTTTCTTCTGCCATTTACCTTTATATATACTCAATTCTGATAAATACATATATTAAAATAAAAAATACAATTCTGATAAATAAACATATACAATTGAAAAAATTACTTGTGGAATTGTTGTCGGATTTTTATTTTAGACAAACATTGTCCTGATAAGCCGCAGTACTGGATCGGTTGTGAAACGATTTCGAACAGGAACTTTGTTCTACTTTCATATAATCAACGCTTTTGAGCAGGATAAGAAATTAATTGTCGATCTCTGCGCATACAAAGATGCGAAAATCCTCAACGGGATGTACGTAAAAGTAATGGAGGTTAGTAGATCATATTACGAGAAAGTTTTCTTCTCGGATATATGAAAATATTGAATATTGAAATAATATAATATTGAAATATATTAAAAAATAGTGGGTTGTCAAAGAAACCACAACTGTCTTGCCCTACTTAACTGTGAAGGTGACGTTACTAGACCCAGACAATTCTCTGAATTAAAAAACAAAGGTTATCGTAGACGAGAGGGGCTAATCTGAAAATTTGTCTGTGCTAATAACATGATAAATCACGTTTACTTTTTATTTTTAATGCTCGTCAGCACTCAAGACGAGAGATCTCAAAATGAGAGATTTTTAAAAGACAAATTGTCAAAAAATTTTCGGCGCCACTCATCATGAATTTCAATCGTAAAACAACATCCGTTCCAATCGTTCCATCCTCTCGTGCTAATATTCATCGTGAAATCTTGTTTTAAATTGTTGGTATTCTGTAAAGTTGCTCACTAGGTGACATCAAGTGTATATGAATGTGTTGGCATATTCGTGTTGTTACGATATTAGGTGTTTAGCTCAATCTGCTATAGTCTTGGGTGCTTTTCCCAGAAGATAGAATCGTGGGGTGGAATCCTGGCAGCGCCTTCTTTTTCAAAAGTTTAAAAAAAACTAGCATTTAATACATTTATCAATTTATGCACTACACGGTCGAACCACTATTATTAAATAAGCAGTTCAATTCTGTTAGAAAGTTGTTTCTTTAATATTCTATATTGAAAATATAACATTTAGAATTTTTTGTAAAAGTACTTTAATCGAGCTTATAGAGTGGATAAATAATGTTAGAATAATCACTGCCGTTGGCTGTAACATTATAGCACTACTATTTAAGTACGGTCTAGTGATAATTGTCTGTGTAAAACAGACGCCAGCCCTGTAATAAAAGTATTTCCATTGTAATGGGACTACAGCGTTAATCAGTAGTAATATAAGTAAATGTGATAATAGATAGTTAAAATTAAAATTTTTGTATACCTACGTAATAAAAAAACTTCACCAATGCTCCATATTTGATGCATATTTTTTATGCGTGCAATTTGCTTGAGTAAAATAATCTTATTCGATTTTTAGAGTGTTCAAAGCAACGCTGAGTACGCGGAGTGGTTTCGTGGGCGTCCAAAGCGACTGGAAGTGCCTTTGGATGATGATACTACGGACCTTATAGTACCGAGGTTGCTTGTGGACATTGGGTGCGAGACACCTAGGATAAATTATGACTCGTACAATGGTAGTTTAATTGATTTAGTACACAATTTATTTTTTAAATTTTGGTACGAACCTAAAAGTCCGAATTTTATGAACTTAGCTAACATGATTTACTAGCCTGATACAAGATTTCCCTGAAGTGTATGAAACCCTAAGACAAAACAGGTTATTTTTCTGTAGCCGAGATCGCAAAGAGCGCGACAGAAAAATAAAATGAGATATACAGCGTATCGTTACAACCGCGACTAAAAATGAACGCACGTCTAACGCTACTTGCCAATAATCATAAACTACTTGCCAATAATCATAAAAAATATAAGCGTTAAAAAATCCATAATTAACTTTTTTTTCAAACAAACTAATTAAATAAAAAAGAAACAAAATTTGTAACATCCTATACAACTACAACTGACTGATTCATACATTCAGAGACTTTTTCATTCGGTGCCATAGCGACGCATTACAAATCTCTTCTTCTAACAGTATGTTTTATCTCTTTTTAATTAATTTAACCCATACATATGCTTTGTGACCTTTACAAATGAACTTTACGTTACAGTTTTATACGTAAGGTGTTCTAAAATTGTTTGTTTTGGAAAATTTAATAACTTAGTAAATATTGATGTTTAAAGAATGTAAATGTTTAATATAATTTTAAAAAGTTATCCTGTATATGTGTGTTCATTTACTGTCGCGATGGTAAGGAGACCCTGTATAAGAGATACCAAAAACATTGAAAATTATAAACGTTGCTACATAAGTTCGATCCCGTGTCCTATGATTGTGACTATTTCCTGTATGTATTCCCTATCGAAATAAGAAAGTTTCTTTATTTAAAAGCCTCAAAAGGTAACCTTAGTAACAGTTATTTGGCTATAACTTTTAGTATATTAATTATAATGATTGGTGTGGTTTTAATGTGTTAAAACTATGTTATCATCCTTAGCGGCTTATAAAATATTTTTATGGTAGACCGGTTCAAGATGCAGCCAATCTAAACTGTTGCTAGTGTCACTCGATCACACTGCACATCAGTGCTTCGGTGCTGAATACCATGTAGATACTAAATGTAGTCACGTAGCGACCCTACGCGACTACATTGCGTGACGCTTGTAGCTCAGAAGCCAGGTGTTTATTATCACATTGCCTTTGTGATTCCCGAAGCTAAGATTTACCCACGGTAGCTAACTGGGACGGGTGGTGAGAGTCGCCATTTAAATATGGTTTGTTTTTCTGTATCCAGTATGACTCAAGGTGTTATTAGGATTGCAGATAGTACGTTCAGGGAAGCCAAAGAGTTATATGGCTCTCATTCCATTGTTTAGATTACATTTAAGGTTTGTTTTAAAAATAAGTGTATTTTATATCACTTAAATCTTGGACGAACCGATTCTGTACTAAGGGCCTTCTCCTCAAAGTTCTACAAGAATGTTCAACATTAAGAGAAACTACAGCTCATGGCTGGAACTTTTCCTTCCACACTGGCCGACGTGGAGTGGCTCAGCGAGTATTATTATGAATATATTCTATAATATAATTCCTACCGCGTTTACAACGGCGGAAAAATCCATTGCAGTTACAGCTATGAGGCTTGTGTTTAAATAGTTTGTCTCGATCTCTCAATTATTTGTGGTAGGGCCACGCAACAGCTTTTTGGCTGTTGCACAAAAAGGAAGGCACGTCCGGGGAAGTACTACGGCCTCAAAGACGACCGGCGTGAAGTGGAAGTAACTCTCGCGTTTAGCCTAGTGTTTCAGTTAACTGGGGCACAAATTTTTAAAAGTTGTCAACGCATCCGCAAGCCATCGTTGGTTGTAGATGTTCATGAGCGGTGGTGTTTTGTATTACATTTAACATAGGGTAAACCGCCGTCTCGCTTGACAACTTTTTGCATTAAATAAATCAACTAGGGTACTCGAAATTGGAGAAATAATTTTGTCATATATTTGCTTTTTTTTCTCAGGACGGCCCTATCGATACTTTTACGCAATAGGTTCAGAGGTGGACGCGAAAAATCCTGGCGCTGTGAGTTACCAGTTGTATAGTATATTTCCGTATACTTATTAAAAGTGATTCATCCACGTAGGTTTCTTATTTTTATGTGTACGTAGCTTATAAGCTTTAGCTTTTGTCGTTTTTTATGTGAGAAGGTAGCAAGCCCACCTGCTGTTAAGCGATAACCGCCGCCCATTATCAGTTGCCACCTTTTAATAAAGTGGACCCCGCTACCTCACTCACCAAGGAAGCGCAGAAGTATAACAGTCTCTCAATGGAAAGATATCCCAGTCAGATTATAGCTACTGATCGAGCCGAGGTCCGGCCCTCGGGCACCCTCGAATCGGAATGCTAAACGGGTATTGCGAATGACACCCGAAGCCGAATTTTGAGCCTAGTCACTCTACGGAGCGTTCGCACGCCCTACCTACAGCGGAGAGCCCAACCCCGTGGGTTCTGGCTAGCCAACCGGTTCTGCGTCAGATGAAGCTTTAATAGTCGCGGGACTGAAAGCACAAACATCAGTTAATAAAAGATACAAGATGGAGCGTCCGCCTATGCCCCTTAAGAGCTCGCTGGCCTCCCAAACCGGTGATATTAATAATAGCGTGACAGCCCGAGCCGAGGCTCCCTCGGGAGCCCTCGAGCTTAGTCACCATAACACGTAAACTAGGTTCAGGCTAGGCGCCCCGAGCGCCCGGCCACCTCAAGTCCGGCGGATCTATAAAGACCCCAAACGCTAACATTTGGCCCTTGCCATAGAAAAACCAGAATTACAATGCAATGTCTTAAAAACTTACAAGTCACTCTCATCATCTCTTTTTTATCGCAAGCCTGCTATAGTTCTCGGTTGGCCTAAGGTATTCATCTATATATATATATTATATATATATATACATTTAAGGAACCTAATTTGGTAACATTAATTATTATGTTTCAGATCATCAAAGTAGATACGTGGACTGGTGACGCAAAACAATGGTTTGAGATAGACTGTTATGCAAGTGAGCCGGTCTTCGTGCCAGAACCCAATGCCTCGGTAAAGTTCACACCTAGTTTTCTAAATTCTCGCGCGATGTTTTGTAATGTAATCACTTACTTTAGAAACTTAAGTACGTATTGGAAAGTAATTAATATAGAATATCTATATCGTCTTCCTCTGAGAGTATTCAGCAAGTCTAACAAGGATATTAGTTGATTCATATTGTAAAAACACTATGAATTCTAATGCGTGCTTAGTTTTACGGTAAAATTGTTCCACTTGTAACTTATCATGATTCTGAGTTATGTCACTACCTTATAGATATTTCTCATCTTGACAAGTCGTGGTTGTTTATGTGTACATAAATTACAGATAGAAGACGCTGGTGTTCTGTTGTGCGCAATAGTGTGGGGCTCAATCGAGTGCACGATTGGCCTTTTAGTCCTAGATGCGCGTACCTTGAATGAAATCGGGCGCGTGGTGTTCCAAACACCGTCGCCATCGCCCAAATGTCTTCACGGCTGGTTCTTACCAGAGCGCGTGTGAACATTCTTAGTCTTTTACCTTTTATTATTACCCTTAAACTATTGCCAGTAAAATAGTTTAAAGTTTATTATCCAGTGTTGAGTGGAATCATGTTGACGCTCATATTACAATACATTTAGTTAATGGGCTAATTTGAAAATAAAAGACTTGAACGAAGAAAGCCAATGTAAGGAGGCAATATGATTTTATGTATGTCCATCATAAAATTTTTTGCTTTTGAAATATGTACCATTATTATAAGATCTGTATGTGAGTATTGTAAAGGGTACTTGAGTACATATATGATTTTTAAGTCTATCAATTAATTTATATTATAACTAGCGGACCGGACAGGCGTTGTCCTGTAAACTTGACTTAAATTCAACAACTTAGAAATATAAAAAAAATGTAGTGGACCGAATTGTGACTCCAATCCATTCTCGAATCAACCTGAAGACACAAAATTTTCATCAAAATCGGTCCCGCTGTCTAGGAGGAGTTCAGTGGCATACACACGTACAGAAGAATTATGTATATATAAAAGAAGATGTAACAAAAGCTTAAGAATTTTGTGATTCATTTTAATACTTCCGTTGAAACACTATTAAAGTAAAATGTGCCCGTATCGCCGCTTGTGCAATACGGATTGGTCTTGTTGTATAAGTTTCATGGGTCATTGTTTTGTAGTTCGACTTTGCTATACCTATATATAGGGAGGTTTTTTTAAGTGTATCCATTTTTTTAATTAAATGCTGGACATAAATAATGTTATATAAAAATTATAAATATTTAAAATCACTCGTAATTAATTAAATATATTCATTTGAACTTATCTCAAAAAGTGCGTGATTTATGGGCAACTCATTTATTTCACGCGCGATCATTCATAACTAACACGCAAACAAGTTCGTTTCAAAAGTATACGACGCATTGATGAATGACTACCGTATTGTCAACAAGTTCTGTTTTCTAAGGAATGGAATAACATTTTTTTTTTGAAAACAAAGTTTGTTTTTATTTCAATAAACGGTTATACTACCGAGTCTGAACCTCCTGTGTGAATTTGGGCACTTTTAGAAAAGCCACCCTGTACTCGTATATATAACAATCCCAAAATGTTTATACATCTTTAATTACCGTTGTTTTTGTAAAATTTGGTAAATATATTAATATCTACTCTCTAATTGATTTTCTTTAAAACGATTTTTAAATTAATCTTAATTTTCTTTTTAATTTTTCTTAAATCACTGTCCTTACTTTAGGATCCTGTACATTATCCTGTGTTGTAAGGACGTTTTACAAACATTAATTTCACGTAGACAAACACCCAGATGTTTCCTCCAATGTTTTTAGTGCTAAGCACGTGATACATCACCACTTAAAATTATCAATTTCATTGGCGGAACGGGGATCGAACTCAGGTTGCTCGAGTATATCGAATTAAAGGCGAGCGCCTGAAAAATGAGCTATTTTTTTACATTATCATATAAAAATTATCAGAATGGGTGTTATATAATTACGGACACAGGTCGACAAATTTCCGAACTAACCCAAGTTTTATACTGTAGTAGAGCAATGTTCGGGGTAGTACCACGGCCTCACAGAAAACCGGTGTGTACTGTAAGTATTAAACGTATGCGTTTCGTCTGGTGAGTGAGGTAATCGGGGCCCACTTTCTTAAAGGTTGTCAACGTATCCGGACTTACATGGGCTATCCACTTTACATCAGGTGGACCGCCTGCTCGCTTGACAACTTTTTACATAAAAAAAAGGTTAATGTTATCAGATCTTAAATTAGCAGAGGTTATGTTCGAGAGAGCTGAGGTACAGTGGGATCAGAAGAAACTTTACTGAACTAAAACGAGAAAGCCACTGTAGCAAGTAGTAGTGATTTATAATTATGATAATAATAATTGATGACTGAGACACGAGACAAGAGAAACTTGAAACAAGGTGACATATTTTAAAACAATTATATAAAAGTGCTAAAGGGATCATCATCCATATCCTGCTGCCGCATGTAGATGGGATCAACACGACATGAAATTTATGTTTCAGTGGTATTGGCCAGTTTCTTGATGACCTAATAATTACTTGAAGGTCTCATTAAATAGTTGTGAATTTATAGAAAACATTAAGAATAACAATTTGTTTAATTATGATATTTATATTTTACACAAAGTGCATGCAAGGACAATATTGCTTTGTATATGCAATATTGTTAATATTCATAATGTAAATCAAAGCGATATTGTCCTTTGCTCCGTTTTCTACAAAAATTAACTTTTTCTACTAAGCAATGCCGGATGCCATGGAAAGTATCAACAGAAAGAGCAAATGTGAAATGTTTCGCTTTCTTTTGTTGGATCACGTGAAGCGAAACGGCATTCGTCGTCGATCCCCGACACGGGACCTTAACTTCGGTCACGTTCATGTTTGCACGTGTCGCGAATCTGTTTGTTTTTTAACAGTCTGTTTTTTGTATCGAAGCCGCGCTAAATCCCTTCTTATGTATTTGTTTAATTCATAAAATGTCTTATAACAACTACGGCTGTCATAATATAGACATGAGTTTATTGGTAGTTTTTACGTGATTATATGTTTCTTTTGATATAATGACTGAACTACTCAGAGATAGCACATAACGCGCCTTATATATTAGACCCCAAGTACCGAATTAAGTATTAATGAAATTTATGGTCGTTAACTTCTATTTTTCTCACTCTGATAGTATTGTCGTAAGTATAATTTATAAGGATAACTTTTTAGCAATATAAATTATTACGGACGACAAAAATTTATTATTTTATTTTATTTATATATTTATTGTACACAAGTTACAAAAAAAAAATAATGAAAATAAAAATAATGTACAAAAGGTAAACTTAACTCAATGCATGAGTTCTCTGCCAGCTAACCATCCATTTAAAGCAAGTAGCATTTTGGGCATTTATTTTGAATCACTTACAGACACTTCTATTTCCTTCTTGGTATAGACAAAACGAGTAGCAAGATAAAATAAAGTTACAGTAAAATGACATATAGGAAAATAGATCTTCTAGGTAGCAGTGGTATTTGGGCCTTACAACCCAACCCATTCCACACAAACCAGTAAGCGCAGCTATGCTGAAAAATTGAGGATAAAACTTTAGTCACTAGCGTTGCAGGACTAAGAACACTGCTCATAAATACCAAATTAATGTCATTTTGAAATCGATCAAATAGATAAATGCTTTACACCGAGCGTAGTTTTTAATACAGAAAATATTGCATAAGGATATGACTCGTTGAGCTCATTGGATGAGTGCCCAACAAAGTAATTGGCATTGTCATAGTTAGGTAGTAATTGTGCAATTATCCGCTAAACCATTTTTGTAGGTCGACACTGTTATAACCATGGTTAATACCGATATAGTGGAGTTATTGTGAAGAATATTGGTCGACAAAAAAACTATATACATTAAGGAATTTTTTTTTGGTTTTATTGTATTTACTCTCCAATAAAGGATATATACTAATTTTGTTTATTTGACTGAAGTCATTTTTTGTTCAACTTCATCGGGGCTTGCCTTCTCTATTAAGATTCTAAAATAAGGTTGGTTCAAAAGATGGTTACAGACAAGACAAGCTTTTATGGTTACAGACAAGACAAGACAAGCTTTAATAACTTTTACTCGTGTAAGGAAAATTAACATAAAAAAAACTAGAGTCAGAAGTTAGCCTAGAATGGACGGATGCCCGGTTTCTGAAACACTGCTACAAAAAATACGTTACTCACATAACGTTATAATATGAATGATGATTAAAAACGAAAAACGAATGATTTACATAAGACCAGAATTTGTTAGAATGCTCGCCAAGTTTCACTCTAGCCTTTGACCCTAATGAGCCAACTACAAAAAGCTTATGTTATTGATTATTTGTCGACTTTATTAAATATTGTTGGTGAACAATACAATTTGCAAACTCATTTCGTGAATTTAGTCTCAATTCTGGCGTCTCAACCACTCACAATGGTGTTCTTATTAAAACCATTGACAAATATCAAATGTCCTTTAAATCATTTTGTTTCCAGAACAACTGAATGATATACATTTTTGTATAGATTAACGGCTCAGATATTCCAATATTGATTACAATATTGGAATAATGTTATTCCCAGTTCATCTACCGACGGCTGGGCTTTGAACTTGGTCATTGGCCTTGTAACGTGTAAGTAGTAGGGGAACAGCCTTCCCCTCACCCGGATGATCCCACCGGATTCAATTTCCAATGGACCCAAGGCATAGAGGAAAGCGTATCTATATATAACGAACGTTTAAGTGGTGTGAACGCTATTGAAATCCACAAGTAACTATAAAATATCACTACAGTAATGAATTTTTATTTTCGGATTTCGTAGGAATGAAGAAATGTACGAATAAATACATTAATACTAGCTGCTGCCCGCGACTACGTCTGAGTAGAATAGGCTGAAGGCGTAACATTCAGACAGAAGGACAGAAATACATAAAATATGTATATAAATTATAGCCTATGTCTTATTCTGATGTATAAGCTATATTATTGCAAAGTTTCATTAAAACCCATTCAGTAGTATTTGCGTGAAAGAGTAACAAACATCCATCCATACATACAAACTTTCGCATTTATGATATTAGTAAGCATTAGTAAGGATTTTTTAAATTTTATTGTAAAAAAACAACCGATTAAAAATTGTGTATAGAGTAGTAACTTATGAATAAGAATTCATGTAATTATTTTCCGAACTTAGGAGCCTAGTGCTGTCTTAAAGAACGGTAAATTTTTTATATGTAACTCCTCTAGTGTTAAAATTTTCAACTGGAGGTAGTTATCATTTACAATCAAGTAAGCATGTAGCATGTTTACTATCTACTCCTTTAAACTATATTTAATTACTATAGTAATTAAATATAGTTTAAAAATATATTGAAAATAGTTGTTGTAGCTTAACATTTACGCTTGCACTCGTTAGTTGCACCACACGACCACGCTGCCCTTACTCGACGTTTCAATGCCAAGTATTTTATATGGTGCGTTCATGGTCATTTGGTAAATTAGCAAAAATTTTGATATGTGAAATGGAAACAAAGTTGTGAAATGGAAACAAAGTTGTGAAATGGAAATTTCTCATTACTTCCAAACAGCCTTTGCGAAAGTTGACAAAGAAAATATTGCTATTTGAAGGGGACAAGCAGTTATTTTAAGTTATTTGATATAGAAAATTATCGAAGTTTCTGAAATTTGGGTTGTATAATGTTTGGGTTGTCCTAAAGTAGTTTTTTTACTTTGAGTGTCAAATTAAAGTTTTCTTACAATAACCACAACTGTACATTAAGTCTTTATATAAAAAAAATCTTTAAATATTTAAAAGTGTGCGCAAATTTTATAAAAAAACTAACACGATACTATACGGCAAACACCGTATTTACAATACTACTTACATACAATGATCCGTTCTTTAAATACGAATTTAATAAAATAATAAGTTTATGATTTGGTTTACATAGAAATTGTTTCTTATTAACTGGGTTTTAAATACAAATGATTAATCTGTTTATCCAGTAAAGTTCGAAAGGGAAAATCGTAAAAGTTACTAGAACAAGACTTGATTAAAGCAGAACCGAGTAAGTTTTTGCTGCATTCAATACACGTGTGCGGTGGCTGTTTAGTGCACGTGCATGACTTATAATCATATACATAATCGTATAATCTAACAATCTGTCCAGAAGGACAGGGCGCGGGGGGTGACGTAGTGGAGTGTATTTACCCCTGCCAATTTTCAGCACTTCAGTCTATACAGTGACGCTGGCCGCGTACCTTCGAGAAAATCGCAAATATCAATACTGAAAATTCGTGCTGCTTTCATTATATTATTTGAATATCGTAAATTGCCGAGTTATTTTGCGTGCTTTACCATATACATATATATTTTTGTTCAGGTTCGTCAATTACATACACATTATTAATAATTAATGTAGAATTTTGTCGAATCGGTGTAACGTTTTGTTACAAAGTTTTGTTACTGGAAATTCAATTAAATTTCATCTCAATCAATTATTAGTTAGAATTTAACGTCCTTTCATGTTACGTTATTTCTGTAAATACTTGAACAGTGTGACATGGCATAGTATTAATAATAAAATCTCTCTAATTTCTCTTAAGACATGACGGCATGCGGTGAAAAGTGCTATCCAAATTGCAACAGCAGTGTGTGGCTTAGGTCTTGTGAGACGGAAGTCGCCCAACCGCTGCTTGGAAGAATCAAAGGTATGGTATTTATATGGTAGTTTAATTAAACTTCAAATATATCATTACAATTATTATGCACGATGTTTTCTTACGAGCATTATGATTAACTGTTTTATAAAAATATAAAATAAAGGTAATTGACATACTTATATAACGAAAACATTGATGCTAGTGCTAAAAAACTAATAGTAAAGAAGTAATTTTTAACACGTTTCTCATTCGTGGAGTATTAAAACAGTAAATGAAAGAATAATATTTTCAGGAAAAGTGCCTCCATGGCTACGGGGTAGCTTACTACGTAACGGACCAGGGTCTTTAAAGGTCGGCGCCATGAGATTCGAACATTTGTTTGACAGTTCAGCTCTTGTCCACAGGTAAGTCCAAGAATATTACTAGTTACTTAATAACGCCGTGCATTCTTGTGTTCTGCTAAATAACACTATTGTATTGTCAAACTGTACTAATTGCACCCTTGTCAGTTCAGAAGGAAAAATAATGTGAAATCTAACTCTACTCATGTATGTTACATATGTAGTTAATTTGTCATATTCATTAATTTATTGTTACGGCGTTAATTAACATAATGCCAAATTGTCATACAGTAGGTATCTTACATAAAAGTAACTTCTTGAATCTGGAATGTGTACACAAAGTACCCAACTTTACGTGTAATAATTTTATAGAAATGATTGTTTTTATACATAAAACTAAAACTCCGATTTACGTGTTTTCACATGATAATCACAATTTTTGTTTACTGATTAGTTATCTTAAGCCAGAGGCACTTATCGGTGCATAAGATTAAAACGGGACCTAGTGACATGAATCTGCAAAGTCAAAGTCAAAGTCATAACTCATTTATTCAATAGAGGCTTTTTTTAAACTTTATTGAACATATAAAACTCACACCGGTTCCCTAAGCTAGATCTCCTGTCAAGAGAATAACCGGCAAGAAACTCTGCGGTCTAGTTATGTTTTTTATTAATAATATAAGTATACAAAATTATTTAGGTATAAAAGAAGCAGCACCCAGGGACATGCACTCCCTGACCTCAATTTATTCTCTGACATTATATTAAGCCCTTGCCATTAGGGAAGCAAGTTATATGAATTGAGGTATATGCACCTCATTTCATATAACTTGCTATTTGATATACTCATTTTTTTTCTCTTTTTTCTCTTGACATTATCCCACATTGTGCTTTAGAACAAACATCCAGATCAGAAACAATTATCTGTAGTAATAATATAATGCGTGTATTAACTGATGTTTTTGCTTTCAGTCTTTTATAATGCGTCTGCCTGTGAAAGGTAGGATATAAATAAAGGCAAAAGAAATAAAGGCTCTATCTTTGAAATGAATACTTATAAAAGAAATGTATAAAAGAAAGAAAAAATTTATTCATTAGATTTTTTATACCTGGTGTTCCTTTTATTTATTTCGGGCCGCCTGGTTCTTGGCCACTCTATCGTCAAGATCAACCTTTCGTCAAGCTATCTGACGCATCAGCTCGATGCAAATTCATTTAATTTCTGTCGCAGGTTTTCTATCCTCGACGGTGCTGTCACGTACCAGTGCCGCTTCGTCCGCACCAACACATTCAAAAAGAACAGAGCTGCGGACCGCATCGTTGTAACCGAGTTTGGAACAAAGTCCGTGCCCGACCCGTGCCACACCATTTTCGATAGGTTTGTATGTAGCAAAAATCACGTTATTTATTTAATTTTATTATTTATATATATATATGAACATACATTACCTATACACCACACAGTACCACACAGGACCATTGATTTGATTTTTGATTTTGAAAGGCGGCCCCGCTTATTCCCTACAATATTAATTAATTAGTATTGCTCACAAAATTGTAACCTATAGATGGAAAATAGTCGTATTGAATATAGAATTGTTTTTTTACCACTTTATATCTAAGAACCCATAGCAGATCAAGAGCACTTTGTCGAGCTCGAATGGCTAAAAAAATGTGTATTTTCAAATTCGTTTGTTAATTCTTACTTTTAGTTTATACGGGTTTATTATAGGTAAACTTCTAACCCTCCCGTCAACATGGCTTCAAAGTTTTCTTATGAAATGACGCTACTATGAGAAATTACGAATTTAAAAGGAAATATTATAAATTTATCAATACTATTTCATTGGCGGCGTTTCTCGGTACGGCTGATAAGTTATTGGCTTTGGCGCCAGGTGTCGTGGGTTTGATGCCCACACGGGGAAAATATTTTTGTGATCCACATGTAATTGGTCCGAATCTGGGTGGGAGCATGATGATGATTTATAAAATTTTTGGAACACATAAAGACCGTTTATTGCTTTATAAATAAGATTATAAGCCTACTGCTTTCTTAACGATTAATATTACTGTTTTCTTTATTGGGAAGGGCATTAATAGCGATAATACTACTATTAAGAATATAAAACTGTTAACTTTTAATTCTCTACCTTGGTACATTTGTAATGTTTTTAAATAAAGATTTATTATTATTTATTTGTGTTCACTAATAAATTACTGGACAAATTGACAGGGAGAATATATCGTATTGTAAGAATGTAACAGAATGAAGGCGTTATGATGGTCGATTGTTACAGAGTCGCGTCGATATTTAAACCAGCTGAAATATCAGATAACACGATGATATCCGTGTATCCCTTTGGCGATGAAATTTACACCTTTACCGAGGGACCTTTTATACATCGGTCAGTAGCAATGATCTTTTATTACTCAATAAAATTATGATCATGTAAAAAACTTCGTGAATATTTGCATTGCTATACCGGAAGCATTCAAAGGTCTGCATTGAATTGGCGTGATTAACGGAAGATTGATTCAAGTTCATATAAAACGACATTACGGTATTATTTTATTTAAATTTAAAGCAACTTAATTTTAAATTTAAATAAAATAATGCCGTAATATCGTTTTAAAGCGAGTCAATTAATATTATTAACGTGACGTGATATTTACCTAACTCTACTGCAGAAGGGCCTTTATATAGATGTTGTAAGGCCATACAAAGCCATGCATCGTCGTTGTCGTAAATGGAAATCATATCTATTACAAAAAAAAAATTCTACAGACTATTTACTATGTAGTACGCTTGAACGTTCAGTACTCGGGCACTGTCTTTTCATTCAGTATACTCGAAAAATCGTGTTCAAATACCGTTGCCGGTTACCATGAGATTGTTAACAGTATTAATTGAGAATTGTTAACTGACTTATCACGTTTCTGTCGGAATAGGATAAAATTTTTAGGAAACCTGCATATCAAGTAATTAGTTAATAGAAATTGGAAGATTGAGTACTGAGAGATTATGCCTTAATAAACCCAGGACAAAGAGATATTTGGTCCGTAGTGAGGAGATACGTAATTGGCTTAATTTTTCTTTACCTATAGGTAATAGTTTTCCTCAAACCGCAAACATGTGATAAAGTTGTTAATATCTGTTTTTAAATTTCTAGCATAGATCCGAAGACTCTTGATACTTTAGAGAGAAAGGATATGATGAAGTGTGTGGCACTTGTAAATCATACATCTCATCCACATGTCATGCCTAATGGTAAGTAAATAATCTGGGTAAACTAATTTACTATTTAAAAAGGGCGTGGTATGATAGTGAAAACAGAAATTAATAGTTGATAACTTTTCTTAAATACTTAAGAAAATGTATCAAAATAATTCAGAAGTATTATATTTATATTAAAGCAACCAAATTGGATGGCATAATTTCCATCCTAATTTTATATCGACTTGAATCCACAGCTGTAAAAAAATAATAATAGTTACCCTTTGCTGATCACTAAGAATAGTTTTAGGAATATGGAATATAGAATAGAAAATAAAAAGATAGATAAATCTCAAAATGTATATGGAATGAAAAGAAAATATACGTATTGTAAAGTAGTTTTACCAGTATGAAGTAAATTAAATATTACTTTTATCAAATTTCTGTTCCTAAATCTTCAAATAACGAAGTAACGTTATGATATCTTCGATATTGCATTTTTAATATACTTATTATACCATAAATTACATGAAATTTAAAAAAAATAAATAACATATCACCGTTCTTGTTCCAGGTGATGTTATTAATGTTGGTATGTCCATCATTAAAGGCAGAGTAAAACACGTCGTTGTCAAATTTCCTTATACTGAAAAAGGTACAAATCCATTGCAATTCATTACTCAATTACGGTTATTTTACAGCGTCAATTGAAGCGTTTAAAATACTACATTAGGATTGAGACTTTTACTTTAAAAGTTTAAGAAAGTTTGTTCAGATTTAAATGGAAGACCGAAAAGACGAAATACGAGAACTTGGAGAATATATGAATTGATATATTTTCATGAGACCAACGTACCAACATTTAGTAAGGTTTAAATCTTAAAATCGGAAGAATAAGACTTTAGCCATATATACATTTTTGTGTTTTAGAAGTTTTGTTTTTTTAAAAGTTTGCGGTTTTTTGACTAGACAGAGGGATTCAAGAGGAAGGTTTATACTTATGTATAATATATTGCACCCGCGCGAAGCCGGGGCGGGTCGCTAGAGTTAAAATAAAAGATAATCTTGTATTTGTAGACATGATAATTAAAAAAAAATCTTAACCAATTTAATATTTGCCTACCATGATAATGAAAGTATCTCTAAAGAGTATTTCATAATATGATTGCAGGAGACATGTTTCAACGTGCACACATTGTTGGAAGTATGAAACCTCGCTGGTCACTGCACCCCTCCTACATGCATACTTTTGGTGCGTAATTTTTTTATATACAGGGAGGCTTTTCTAAGTGTATTCATTTTTTAAATTAAATTCTAGACATAAATAATGTTATATAAGAAATGATAAATATTTAAAATCACTCGTAATTAATTAAATACATTCATTTGAACTTATCTCAAAAAAGTGCGTGATTTATGGGCAACTCATATGCTCTTAATATACTCATAAGCGCAATTATTCATAACTAACACGCACACAAGTTCGTTTCAAAAGTATACGACGCATTTATGAATGACAACCGCATTGTCAACAAGTTCTGTTTTTTAGGAAATGGATTGGCAATTTTTTTGAAAAAAAAAAAGTTTGTTTTTATTTCAATAAACGATTATACTAACGAGTCGTTTCTTTAAACGTTTCTTGCGTTTCTTTAAAGGTATAACGGAGAATTACTACGTCATTATGGAGCAACCTCTCACAATATCAGTTTGGGGAGTATTTCGCAATCAGCTGACGAATGAGCCTTTTGCTTCTAACCTTCAGTGGTTTCCAGAACATAAGGTAACTGGATAAAAAGTTTATTGTACTCTTATTAAAATTTTATTCTATTCTACGTACTTAGATTATGGTACTCTTAAATATAAAAATAAGAAAGGGATTATATATATACTATTCTTCCATCAGCAGGCATTGCTGTGTGGTTTTTGTACAGTCGTGATCATTTGAGTTATCATCTGATCTATAATATTTACTTTCACCCAATCATGATTGGTAGATGTTACCTTCATTTGCCTAATATATTGTTCCAGACAAATATAGTTTTGATCAGTAAACAAACCGGCAAAGAAGTTAAGCGATATGTAACGGAAACGTTTTTCTTTCTTCACATAATCAATGCGTTTGAGCAGGACGGAAAGTTGGTTGTCGATTTGTGTGCTTATAAGGATGCAAAGGCGTTGGATGCAATGTATGTAAGAGCTATGGAGGTAAGGAACTAGCAAGTAGAAATACCAAAATACACGCACTATTTCACTTATCGATCTATTGAACTTAGTTTGAAGTAAGGATGGCAGGTAGATACGAACATTCTTATTAAGACTTATTTTAGAACTTTAACTATAGACAAAATTTCATATAAAACTCTAATTGATAATCGGACAATCCATTTTATCCATACCCGAAAAGGAACTCTTAAAAATATTTTCCATAGTTTTTTCAACCGTATAAAGGCTATCTTCGTTCTTACATGTAAACAGTAGATATTCACGAAGACATAAATAAGTATTAACACCACATACCACATTCCAAGCACATAGATTCAGATTCCAGTCAAGTAGATCAGGCAAAATATTAATAATTTTAATAATGACGGTGGCCAAGTTCTAGTAGGTTACCGGACGGAAGCCATTCAGAGGCCTTACGCCTCAGTTTAACCCGTAACCATGTATGCTGCGAAGTGTTCGAAATTAAAAGCGTCAAAGTTTTGGGAATTCAAATTGTTACCAAGTAAACGCCATGAATCCGTAAAAATAATGTCGTGTCAAAATTTACGTTTCCAGTATTAAATTTATTGATTAAAGTTGTTTGAGTACTATATGTTTCCGCATAATATGTTAATAATTAAATAAATACGTTAATATATTATTATATTTATATTTAATAAATACGTAATATACGTTAATATATTATATTTAATTATTATAAATCTCATAGATATTTTTCCGTATACATTTAATACATCTCTCATAGACGATGCAAAGTAACGCAGATTATGCGGAATGGTTTCGGGGGCGACCGAAGCGTCTGGAAGTGTCCTTGGAAGCGCCTTCCATGAGCGTGGTGCAGTCACGTCTGCTTGCAGATCTTGGCTGCGAGACACCTAGGATACACTACGACCTATACAACGGTAATTATCACATAAGATACCGAACATACTTTTTTTTAAGAAAAAAATTGCCTTTCATGTAGGATAACATTATACTGTGTTGCAAAAGCATGTTACAAACACCCAGATACGAAAAAAAAATATCTGTAGATCACACAAATACTTGTCTCGTGTGGGAATCGAACCCACAACCTCTGGCGCCATAGCCAATACCAAGATAGCACATGGAATACAGACATTTCCATTTTCCTTAATTAATTGTATCGATGGTTCCTACGTATATAAAGACATGTTAAAAACCGAGGTTTACAGGAGAGCGTTATTTATGTTCAAACCGCTCTAGAAATAATTTTATATAATAATAACACTTGTACTCTTATACGATTTGTAAATGAAGTAAAATACACAATAATTAAAAAAATATAGGTGTATATCGATAATGTAAGGCCGATATGCAATAAAATAACAATTTTGATATGTCTTTATCTACGGAGGGACCGTCGATATATTGGCATGGTTTTTTAATCACCTACAAAAAAAAGCGAGGATTTGACGTATCTATGCGATTCATTAATAAGTATTTTTGTTTGTATGTCTCAGTAACTTAATTTCCTTGATTTATGTAACTTTACTTACTTAATTCATTAGCCGAAAGCTCATGTGATTAGACTGTCGTTACAATAAATATAGTTACCAATCCAAGGTGTATGTCTACTTACATTGTAGGAGTTTTGTTTACTTTTTTCATACGTTTAAGTACATGAACGCTCTTGGTTAAAAAAAAACATTGTGTGGTTTTATGTAAAAACGATGCAAGTGAAACTTTTTTTCGGATCTTACTGATTTAATTGAAAATGTTCAATTAAATGTTAATTGTTAATTATAAAATAATTAATAATTAATATAAATGCAAGATGGTTGGCTGATGCGAGCCATGGGCGTCGCCATATTGGCCTTGGCTGCTCTGCCAAGCGTCTTTCACTTTATCCCTATTCCGTGACCGGCTGTAATGGGACATGCGATAGATGGACGAAAAAATTTGAGACGATGAAAAAATATTTCACTTAAAAAGTTTTTTTTATTTTATGTTGTTCAAAAATACTTTGTATCATAAACATGTAATAAACAATAATAGTGAGTTTTTACGTTCGCAGGGCACCCGTACCGATATTTTTACGCCATTAGCTCCGACGTAGACGCAAAAAACCCTGGAGCAGTAAGTGAAATCAAGTCTTTTAAGTTTATAAATGCGCTAGCATTGTAGATTATTGTTTTTTTAGTTAAGTTTATAAATTTAAAATCAAGTACAAGTGGTTGTATACGACGTCAATTTGCGATCTGAATCAGCCTTTTCTTAGTAGTAAAATGCGTGCTGTTTTACATTTTTCGGATTACTTATGTACAATTTATAATATTTCTTACATTTGTGCGCAACGTACCACTGTGTATAAATGATTAACTGTGGTATGGCGGCAAGAATACTTACTTTCTTAACTTGTTAAATGATCTGGTGATCTTCTAACTTTAACCTCCGCTTCCTCATACTTCACCACCCAAATAGTTAAAAATTCACTGCATACAGCGTCTTAATAATTGTTTTCGATTCAGATAATCAAAGTGGACACGTGGACGGGTGAAACGAAAACTTGGTTTGAAAACGATTGTTATCCAAGTGAACCTGTTTTTGTTCCAGAGCCCGAATGTAAGGTATTTAACCTGTCAAACTTTTTTCACGGTATCGTCAGCAGTGACCGAATGGAAGTGTTGCAAGTTGGAAATAAGTGAATGCCATTAATTTTTTTTATGTTAGAAGATGGCATGTGCGCTGGCGGTTCACCTGAAGTTATATTACAACTGCCGCCCATTGACATTTGCAACACCCATAGGGTTGCAGATGCGGTGTTACCGTTTAATAAAGTGATATTATTCACCAGACGAAACGCAGAGGTGTGACTTCCACTTCACGCCGATCGCGATGTCTTCTTGTAAGGTACTTACCCGGATGAACCTGCCCATTCGTGCAACAGCGAAGACTGTTGTGTTATTTAATTAATCTATAATTACAATACTGTTTTAATATGAAGAGTATCAAGGGTTTAGTTATCTGCAGTGAAAATGCGTTAAATACATTTAACATGTACTCGTAAAATATCGCGGAAAATTAACCGTTTGCCAATAGATGGAATTTCGTCTCAAGTGAATATATACGATATGATTATTTTAGAAAACTTTGAAGAAAAATTTTATCTACCTTCTAGGTAGCATTCTGACCACTAAGCTAACCAGACGATATAGTTATCGAAAATCTCGACGTCTTATCTAATTATTTTTAATGCAAGCATTTTTGTCAATCGTTGGCGCTATCCAGTAAGCTTCCTTAACAGGAAACACACTATGTCAAATGAAATTTTACAATGGCAATTTTATTTTGACAATAGTGACTTTAGTTTTTACAAAACCTTGCTTTTGAAATTTGTTGTTACAGTAGCAAAAGCGACAAAGACATTGGTTATATCTATAGGAGTCTGTGATTTTGTATTTTCCGCGTTACAGGAAGAGGATGCAGGAGTTCTCTTAAGCGCGCTAGTGTGGGGTTCGAAGGAATGCTCCGTGGGTCTATTGGTGTTGGACGCGCGCAGTCTAGAAGTTATAGCACGTGTAGACTTCGACACGCCCTCGCCAGCTCCCAAATGCCTGCACGGCTGGTTCTTACCGGAACGTGCATGATATCATCAAAAATATTACAATAAAATACCACGTTGCCCCAAAGTGTCTGTGCAAAACCTGCGTCTGATGAAGGCAACGATTGAAAAAGGTATAATTATTTAAGAAAGTTTAGACCTTCCCTGACTTGCTAAATATTTTAGTTATTTTTGCCAGACACAATTCTACGTGCCAGGCTTTAAAGAAATTGTTTTCACGTTTGTGTATACAAATAGAACGGTCAAAGTTTGTGTAATAAATTCGTTGAGCACATGTGCCACCTCTCTCGATTTAAGTGTAATTAAGTTTAATTTTTTCAAACTAAATCAAGTCTAGCTTAAATCTTCATGGAAGTTTGAAAAAAGAACATTCATTAGTATTTTGCAACTGAGTTTAAGAATTAAAAAAGACTTGCAACCAAGCATGTGTTAGTTTACTTGTAAATATAATTTAATATAAAATGAAAACAGTTTATTCAACAAAACAAAAATGACCAAAAAGCTAGTTAACTTTACGTAATATCGTTTAAGAGAGAAAAAAATTTTTAGGCTTTCGTTTACAAACTACACCTTGTTCTTTAATTTATTTGATTGTTAATTTGTGATTATTAACTATTAGATTGCAATTTAGGTTAGTATATTTCAAATACATGTGAAGCACAACATTTATGATTTATATATTTAGTGATTGCATTTCCGTACATTTTGTAAAATTTACAATTTAGGTGCAGATCACTTATTTAATAACTAAAAATAAAAAAATAAATTAAAAAAAAAAGTAGTTTTAATACACCTTACCCGTAGTATTAAAATATTTTCTAATGAAGTTTGTTATGCAAAAAAAGAAACGCGGAGATTATAAAATATATAATGTTAGCAAAAAAAAAAACAGACTTCAAAACACTCTGTTAGCACTAAAAAGATTACAATAATACAAAATGTAACATAATCAATTCTTGAAAATGGAACCTATATAACCTAACCTTCGTAACCTCTAACAAAATTTAAATTTTTTGAGTCGGTGCCAAGCTAAATATCTGTGATCGGAACAAAAAATCATTCTCTTATGTTTGTTTCACAATTTAGGTGGATTAGACATAATTAAATACATATAACTGTCTTTTAGCCTATTTATAAGAAAACCGCAGTATTCATTGTTGCTTAGCTTCTTTCTATTTTTTTAGCAATAATTTATTATTTGTGTATATAATAACACCTTGCTAAAATGTAATGGTTGTAATAATGAATAATATATATATATATATTTATATACAACGTGTCCCAAAATTCAACGATAAGCCAACACCGGAGGATAGACCTGCCCCGGACTAATCGGGGAAAAAAAGAAAAAAAAAAATATATGCCAATTACATTTTAAGTTATATAAAAAAATGAAATTCTTCAGAAATTGAGATCGTTTATGATATTTTGCACTACCATGACCACAATTTTTTAAATATTTTTTCTTTTTTTTTATAGGCAATCTGAATAGTACTGCTATCTACTTCAATTCTTAAAAACTCCAGAATAACTCTTGTTTTATCACGAAAATTAATGAAACTTATTTTATTCCCTAAATTTTTTGAAGACTTTTACTTTTAACCAAATTTAACTTATCGTGGTGTAAAAAAAAGTATGAACACTAGTATGGTAAGTTTTTTTAAAAATTGACGCAACTAACCAACATTCCAAAATGTACATATATATACAACATATATATACAACCATTACTCATGGTGACACCGACATTGGCACCAACTGCAAAAATTTTCAAATTTTGTTAGAGGCTCGGTAGATTTTCAAGATTTAGTTATATTAGATTTAGTAGTATTCAGAAGCCTTTAGTAGTCTTCTAGCACGAACTCGTGGTAGATTTTCTCAAAATCTACGTGTCTTCGCCTATTAATTAGATTTTATTACTTCGAAGTAGTTCTTAGTAGTTATTACTTTGATAATGTTTCTCTATCGATTAAAATATTAATAAACGATAAACGCGCACGCCCCTATCGTAAGTAATGACCAAAGATAATCCAATTATTAATCTCTAGCGATATAAATAATAAGCAAACAGCAACCGGCTATCATGTAGATATAGATTCCTTCATCTAATTTTTACTGTCCTCACTAGATGTCACCACGCATAAAATTAACGGCTATTCGAAGCCAATCGATAACTATCGGTTCGGGGCCTGGAAAAAAAGTGTTACACCATCTAGTAAGTTTTGTATACAAGAATTATTAGATGGTGTAACACAAAGTTCGATATGATATGCGAATGGCGTAGTGGGTAGTGTACCTGCCTCCTACGCCAGAGGGTGTGGGTTCGATCCCCACTACTGGAAAAATATTGTGTGATGAACATGGTGTTTTTCTAGTGTCTGGGTGTTTCTATATGTATAATATGTATTTATTTACAAAAGAAAAGTATGTTTATGTATGTTTATCAGTTTTCTAGTACCCGTAGTACAAGCTTTGCTTAGTTTGAGACTAGAAAATGTTGTGTACAAATGTGTTCAAAATATTTATATTTATATTTATATTTATATACAGAGATCTGTAAATTTCTTTAAAAAAACAATTTTACCTGTTTTTTGTAATTATCCAAAAATAAAAGCAATATTTATCCCTTACTATATGAACTGAAAATTTACTGAAAGGCCACCACTAATATAAATGTCAACACTAACCAATTTTTACCAAGTTTAATCCACTTTGCCTTTGCCTCAATGTTTACTTAATTCTGCAAACATGATAATCGTAGAGCTATTACGTTTACGGGCAAATAAGCACCGTTGGTGTACGTATTACCTCATAACTCTATTAGCTTCAACAAGTAAAGCACAGCAAGCGTATATTGCACCGAATCTTCGAAAAATAATTTGGTCTCTGTGAAAGCTGAAACGCTAGCGGATGTCTAACGTAACGGAAGTAGCGAGCGATTTCGATATAGAGCAATGGTCGCAGTTTCTGTTAAAAGTGCGAGGAGAAGAGCCGCCTTGGACGCTAGTGATATTAGTTATGTTCATGCTGATAATTTTCCTCGTCAGTTTGGTCGGGAATCTTTTGACTTGCATCGTCATATACTACGATAAGAACATGCATACTGCAACAAACTATTATCTGTTCAACCTGGCGATTTCAGACTTGATTGTGACGTTCGCAATGCTGCTGGATCTGTATGAGCATCTAAGTGATTCCTATAAATTCGGTGACGTTGCGTGCAAAATACATTTCTTCTTTGTTATCTTATTGTGGAACAACAGTATTCTTATTATGACTACACTGGCTGTTGAGCGGTATGTAGCCATATGGCACCCGATGCTGCTTAAATCTTCTTCGGTTTGTCGGCGCGTCACGAAAGTGATAGTGATCGTATGGATAATTGCAATCGTGGAGACGCTCCCTGAAGTATGGGCGGTGGAACTGATCAAAACAAAGAATTCCTTCGTGTGTTTCACAGTACCCACTCCATACGCCAGATTTATAAACGGCGTGCTTGCACTGTTGACTTTCGTTATCCCTCTGGCGATAATGACTTTCGTATATACAATGATTGCTTTAAAAGTGAACTTCGCCGAGAGATCGAAATCTAAGAACCAAGTTTTCAACCATCGCGATAACAGGCGTAAAGTCAACAAACTCATTAGTAAGCACATACTTTAATCCATTTCATTTCTTTATAATAATTTTTTCGTTTGTATAAAAGAGTTGAAATGTGATGTATAATTGTTATAAGGTGAATTATTATTTACCATTTAATGTTTTTACGTTTCAACTTAAGTAATGAAAATGAAAATCGATCCCGTTTTCATTGCTTTGCATTGTTAATAATCACGAGATCTTTGAATCAAGAGAATTTAAATTTAACCATGAAATCTCAGCAAATAAAACAGAAAAAGAAATCAAATGAAAGTGGTTATTTAGAATTTGTTTGGTGCTTAGTAGCATTGACGCTGTCATTCCTGGTGTGCTGGCTGCCTTTCTGCATGTTTCGTGTGCTAATATTCGTGTACAACATGCGCCAACTGATGCAACTTGCGAAGGTAGGTAACGCAATACGAGTAGCGTTTCATATTCCTTGTTTCTTCTGTTAATTTTCTCTTCATTATTACTTTTTCTATTTTATTTTCTTGCATTGGCAGTTCATAAAATCAGACTGTTCTCACTTGTTTATTTTAGCAATTATTGTTAGTACAAATAACAAGTACCCGGAGAACCCGGTTTGTTTTTTTTTTGGTAAATCGTGTATTTTGGAAATTACATTTAGATACAAATTACTGAGTAATGAAATATGCATAATGTTTTTCGATCTTACCGACGTAATAAAAAAAAAATATGAACTGATGTTTTTCACAAAAGAAAGAACTAAAAAAAGAGGGGAAAAAAATAACAAAATAACAAATCGACAAAAAATAAAAAATAAAGAAAGCAATGATCTGGAATCGAAAAAAAAAGTAAAGAAATAAATGTGTAAATGATCGTGACGCGAACCACGGCCGTCTGTTTTGGGGCCGCCCGATTACCGACCGAGCTGTTATGACATTTTCTCTTGCGGCGAAATTTACCGTCATATTCGAATTATTATTATTATTTTGGGGGTATTTATTTGTTTTCTCATCTGGTTGGGTTTGAGGATAAATAATAAACGGATTTCCTACCATGTCAAAATTGTTCCGACGGTAGGCTTTTTAAAGGTAAAAGAGGCTTAAATATTCACATCAAACGTTGTCATAGTCACCCTGTTGCAGCTTCACAGCCTACCGCATTTTGTAATAAGACTATTAGCGATTATAATGACAAAAATTTTAAGAGTTGTTTTCGAAACAGATCTATTATTACCATAGCAATGTACCAATACTCAAAAGGATTCCAAGAGGTGCAAGGATGCAGCTTGCCAAGTCATTATCAACCTGTATTCAAAATTGTTTCTCAAATACTGAATCTAGTTGGCATAATTTATTTACCTTTGCGTATTCCCATTTTCACTTTGATAAATCGGTATCAAAATCAATTACTTCTCAGTTAAAGAGCAATTCATTCAAAAATGTTGAATTAAAGACTGCCTCATCCATAACTAAACCCCCCCGTAAATTCGATTTAAAGAGAACTGTAGAGATTAAAGTTATGGATGGTGATTTAAAAAATGCATCGCGCATTTTATTTTCAGACGACATCCGTATAATGATGAGACTCTAGAAAACCTCCGACAAAAGCATCCATCGATCAATCTTCTGCCGCTCCTACCGCTGCCTCCCGCTTCTTCATATCAGGCTTTGCAAATTACCGATAAAGACACTTTCGAGGCAATTATGTCATTTTCAAGTGGCTCTGCTGGCGGCATTGACGGTATAACGCCACAACATCTGAAAGATCTTGTAAGCGTTTCCGCCGGTGATGCTGGCAGAGCGCTTCTTAATGATATTACCAAATTATGCAACTTAATGCTTTCCGGAAAAGTAAATCCTAAATTTGTTCCTTTCTTATACGGGGCAAGATTATGTGCCTTTAAAAAAAAAAAGATAATGGTATCCGTCCTATTGCTATTGGTTCTACCTTTCGACGCTTAACTTCAAAATTAGCATGTAGGCACATAATCTCCGGCCTTAAAAGAAAATTCCAGCCTATTCAACTAGGCTTTGGAAGCAAAGGCGGCTGTGAAGCGGCTGTACATTCCGTTCGAACTTCTTTAAATACTAGTGATTTGGATGTACTTCTGAAGGTTGACCTAAGGAATGCTTTTAACTCCATTGATAGAACGACTCTGCTGAACGAAGTGGCTAACCATACACCAGAAATATATCACTATGTTTGGCAATGTTACAGTGAAAAGAGTAATTTATTTTATGAAAACCATATTATTGATTCTGCTGTCGGCGTTCAGCAGGGAGATCCGCTAGGACCAGCATTATTTAGTTTGGGAATTAATCCAATTATTTCAAAATTGAAATCTAAACTTAATGTCTGGTACCTAGACGATGGTACTCTGGGAGGTAAAGTTGACGATGTACAAAGTGATCTTATTGAAATTATTAGACAATTTAAAAATATCGGTCTCGATTTAAATAATTCCAAATGCGAACTTTTCTTTTCCGAAAAGATTTCTTTTTCCGACAAAATCATTTTGACCCAAAATTTTAGCTCTATCATACCGGGAATTAACGTAGTCCGTTCAGATTCACTTTACCTCTTAGGTGCTCCTTTGTTGATACCAAGTTTGGAACCTCATTTAAAATTAAAGTTAAGTCAATTTTTAGATCATGTCAATAAATTGTTTTTACTAAATTCGCATATTGCGCTTACTATTTTGCGACATTGTATTCTTGTACCTAAATTTACGTACCTCCTTCGCTCGAGTCCAGTTTGGAAATGCGGTGACTTTTTGAACGAAATTGATTTCCATCTTAAATCAGCTCTAGAAAAAATTCTAAATTTATCTCTTAATGAATTAAGCTGGACTCAAGCTACGCTGCATCCCAATTCGTTTTGGTGGTATCGGTGTAAGGAAAATTTCTAGTGTCGCTCTACCTGCCTTCCTTGCTTCCGTGCATAGCGTAAATAATTTATGTAATAACATCCTTAATCACGATTCAGAACTTTCCTATGCAGAGGAGGCAAGGATGTCTTGGCTGTCTATCTGTCCCAACGAAAATATCCCACTGGAAGTAAACCTACAAAAACAGTGGGATGTTCCTTTGGTGCGGAGAGTACAGAGAGATACGTTTCAATCTTTAGAAAGTAATTTAGAGCGTGCCCGTTTCCTAGGAGTCTCATCTAAAGAATCGAGTTATTGGCTTCACGCTTTACCATCAAGTAACTTGGGCACATTACTTGACGATGAAAGCTTACGCATTGCTGTAGGAATCCGTCTGGGGGCACCGATTTGTCAACCACACCAATGCCCTTGTGGTGTCAGTGTAGACAAATTTGGTCTCCACGGGCTTTCTTGTCAAAAAAGTGCTGGCCGTTTTTCTCGCCACGAACGACATCATCCGTAGGGCTCTTGTTTCCATCAATGTTCCATCTATTTTAGAGCCCTGTGGCATTTTACGCGACGATGGTAAGAGACCCGACGGTTTAACATTGATCCCTTGGGAGAGAGGCAAAGCCCTTGTTTGGGACGCCACTTGTGTAGACACTTTGGCTGCCTATCATCTAAGGGGTACTTCGGTCAGGGCCGGGGCGGCATCGGAGGCAGCTGAAGTAAGTAAATGGCGCAAATATGAGTCTTTATGTTCAGATTATGTATTTGTGCCATTTGCTGTTGAAACATTAGGTCCGTGGGGTCCCCGCACATCAATTTTTTTTTTAAAGTTTATGTCCTAGGCTTAACGCCGCGGCTGGTGACAAGAGAGCTGGTTCTTTTCTCGCGCAAAGGTTGAGCATAACTATTCAGCGAGGAAATGCAGCTAGCGTTCTTGGCACCATGCCGCGTGGATTAGGTTTATTAGAAAATATGTAATTTTAGATAGATTTAATCTTGTAAATATTAGATCAATAAAGATTGTTATGCAATAAGGATAAACATATATTTATATAATGCATATATAAAATAAATATTATGAATAAAAATAAATATACAGATATAAATATTATATATAATACATAAATAAATAGGACCCAACCAGACGGAAGCGCTCGGCAGGGGAGACCAAACGGCCGAGGGTTAGGGTGAGAGGGAAAGAAACCGGCGGACGATGCGGGCGGTATCGAGGAGCACCGCCTTCTGCATTTGAGCTTGGAGCGTTCCGTCCCGGAGTCCCAGTCGCCTCAGATGTTCGGAGAGGCTGACTGGGATTAACCCGTTCGCAGACACGACTATTGGGATAATTTCGGTCGGCACACCACCTCACATGTCGGTCACCTCATGAGCCAGGTCCAGATACTTTGTCTTCTTATCTGTTTCGGCTTTCACGAGGTTCTCGTCATATGGAATGGTAATGTCGACCAAAAATACCCGCGACTGTGCCCGGTCCATCACCACGATGTCAGGTTTGTTCGCGACAATCGTCCTGTCCGTGATGATGGGCCGGTCCCAATAGAGCCTGGCGCGGTCATTTTCGAGCACGGCCTCCGGAGAGTACTTGTAGTACGGCAGTTTCCGTTCCACCAGTCCGTATTTTAGAGCGAGCTCCTGGTGTAGAATTCTGGCTACTAGGTTGTGTCTATGCAGATACTCAGAGTGAGAAACCATGGAACAACCGGAGATAACATGCCGTAGCGACTCCCTGGGATGGCGACAAGCTCGACAGATGTCGACGGTGCCATCCCTTAGGATGTATCTCCGATAGTTGTTCGTCTTAATAACCTGATACTGTATCGCACAGACAAAACCTTCGGTTTCCCCAAAGAGTTCACCGAAACGTAGCCAGTTAAGGGAGGCAACGGTACCTACGTAAGGCTCGTGTAGAGCCTTGTAGAACCTCCCGTGGAGCTCTTTCTCCTTCCATACGGTCTCTCGGTTGGAAACGCTCAGTACTCCCGGGTCCTGCCATTGCTCGTTGGCTAAGGATAGAGGGGTAAGTCCTTTATTACAACTAATGACGTCCGTGTAGATTGATTCATCCGATCTCGCCAGAAAGTAGTTAAGGAGGCTGCACACCTCGCGATTGTACATGGTGAGGGCGCTTAAAAAGCCCCTCCCGCCATGCTTCCGCGGCAGGTACAGCCTCATCACTGACGATCTCGGATGATGCATTCCGTGGGACGTCATAGTTGTGCGGACTTTTCGATCCAGGGCGTTGAGCTCAGTTTGAGTCCACCTGAGTATGCCAAAGGTATACATGAGGACTGGCATGACCCAGCCGTTAAATGCGCGTGCCTTGTTCACGCCTGACAAATGGCTGTTAAATACCTTTGTCAGGCGTGCAAAAAACGTCACGAACTGACTGTTTCATGCCAGCCTCATCGATACACATGTTTTGTGACATACCCAGGTATCGGTATGTTTCAGCCTCAGAGAGGGTCCTTATGTTAACGGGCATAGATAAGTCTATGCCCTCCGTATTAGCGACCTTACCCCTTTCGACATGGAGGACCGCGCACTTATCTGTCCCAAGCTCCATTTTGATAGAATTGCTGAAATCACAAGTGACTTTAAGCAATTCCATCAAATGGGAGCGATTGGAGGCGAATAATTTGAGGTCATCCATGTAGAAAAGGTGGGTCACTTTTGTCCCTCCTCTCCGAAGCTGAACTCCTCCCCCACTCCACTTCTCCAGTAACACGCTGAGAGGGTTTAGGGAGAGGCAAAACCATATTGGGCTCAAACTGCCCTGGAAAATACCCTGTCGTATCCTTATCCGGTATTCCGCAGCCGTCATCCGCTCGCCTAGATGACAAAGGATCGTACTCCATTGCCCCCTACAGTGCCCGAGGAAGTCTCTTACTGTACAGTCTACTTTGTACAGTTCGAGGACCCTCTTTAGCCATGTATGGGGCACCGAGTCGAACGCCTTTCTGTAGTCTATCCAGGCGGCGGAGAAGTTCCGACGGTTGCGTTTAACCATTTTGCCAATGACCGCGTCGATAAGAAGTGGTTCCTTGGTTCCACGACCACTGCCCCGACATCCATTCTGAGCACGAGACATAATCCGATTCATATTAATATGCCGGGTGATGCTCATGCTCAGAATAGATGTCAGTGTCTTATAGATGGTAGGTAGACACGTTATGGGGCGGTACTTACTCGGGTCTGTGGTAACCTGATCTTTAGGAACCAAATGAGTGACCCCAGTAGTAAAGAGGCTCGGGAGCAAACTCTGATCGAGAGCCTCTTGGAACTGTCGGGCGAGCACAGCATGACACACCACGAACCCCTTCAGCCAGTAGTGATGCAGCCCGTCGAGTCCCGGACTTTTCCAGTTCGGGGCTCTACGGACTGCCTCAGATACGTCGTCGGGTGTTATGACGACGGGGTCCATGGGTGTAATGTCTGCACATTGGCTCGCCACGACTTGTGTCCAAGGGCCCTCGCTGTGGTCTACGGGCTCTGACCACAGGCTGCGTCAGAAGGCGACAGTGTCTGCCTGGTCCGGTCCTTGGCCAGTTCCACAGCTCATTGGTGCCTCCAAAGATTTGTAGAGCCTCTTTTGATCACTCTGGAAGAGGCGATTCTGGCTAAACCGCGCCGTCCTCTAGGTATATCTCCGAATATATAAGTATGTATAATAATAAGAATAATTATTATTATTATATATACTTTATTGTACACCACAAAGTTTTATACAGTTCATATAAAATAAATCTTAAAAGCTAGGTACAATAAGGCGGTCTTATCGCTAAAGAGCGATCTCTTCCAGACAACCTTAGGACAAGGAAAATAAACTTATGAATAGTGGGAGGTGGGTGTGCTTAATAAACTTACTTAATAATAATAAAATAAATTATAATAAACATACATAAACATAAATAAATATATAATATATACAAATAACATAAATAAATATATGAAAGTATAATAGATTAATATTGTCAATGTTAGCTATGGATTACAGAGGGAAAGATAGTGATTCTTTACGTCATTTTTAAATTTGTCTAGCGTCTTTGCACGACGAATTTGCTGAGGTAATTCATTCCACAAGCAGGTAGCCTTGACTGTAAAGGAATTATTGTAATATTTGGTTTTATACGTATTTATAATTATATTATTCATTCCCTGAAAACAGGGATAAAAGGGCATTTTTTCAGGCTAAAACTGAAACCTAGCTAGATCGATTTTTCGCCCCCGAATCTACGCACATACTAAATTTCATGAAAATCGCTGGAGCCGTTTCCGAGATTCCGATTATATATACATATATATATATATATATATATATATATATATATATATATACAAGAATTGCTCGTTTAAAGGATAAGATAATTGGCAAGTAGTATCATCTACTTTCTTTTTCTTCTATTACGCTGTCTTGATTTATAAGGATAATCAATTAGGTTACCTCAGAATATTATGATTCTTATTTAACAATCTAATGTGATTGAAATTATTTTACACAGTTCTAGCTGATGTATTATTAAAGCATTATAAGCAAAACAAAAAATACATAATTCAAAGTTAATATTTTTGTATAATCTCAGTGAGAGAGCGGAAAATAATTTAGAATGATACGAGGGAGGTCAAAAAGTTAGCGGAGTGAGGTGGATAGGGGGTGCAATTAAATATCAAATAATTTTTCCTTTTTTCCCTTCCTACATTTCTCAGATCTGGGAAATAATTTGTTTATACCATTCAAAAAATGATATATCTTTGGTGTCAAAATAGGCCGAAACTGCTGACTTCTTCATCGTCGCTAAATTTTTGTCCACGGAGCTCTTTCTTCAATTTTGGAAATAAATAATAATCACTAGGGACTAGGTCAGGCCGATTTCTTCCCGATGGACTTGTTCACTGGTCGATATAGTTAAAGGTTAATGATCCGTTTAGGTTGAAATTTGGTATTTATACCGTTAATGAGTAGTTCTACTAGTGACTACCTGGATTAATTAAACTACCACTAACCAACCCGCGAAAACCCCTTTATTCCGCGAATTTTTTGACCGCCCCTCGTATGCTGTGCTACAGAGTGCTGGTAAATTATAAGGTAATCGATTTTTTATTGCAGTGGTGGAGTATCGGTCAGAGGGTCATGTTATTCCATAATTGGTTCAGCATCGTGCTTAATCCCATCTTATTCAGTTTGATGTCAACGAAGTTTAGAAAATCACTAAAGGTTAGTATTCATTTCCAATTGTTCAGCTATTTTATCCTAAATAACCGGATTATAAAACATGTTTCCTTAAAAAAATTATTAGTAAATCCAATATTAACTCGCAAAAGTACCAAAAGTTTAGATATGGTGCAAGTGACTAATATACTTCGCACTGTAGCTATGACGGCAACCTTATATTTAAAGAAAACATTAATCAGTTATCTAAGAGAGTAATGCCCGATTTCACCAACGACCATTAAGGTTTAAAGGGCCCTTTAGCAAACTTAGGGGTCTGTTAGGAGATTGCTTCCGTTTTACCAATATTTAGAGGTCACTTACTGACAAAACGGTCCACTAAATTTAGGAGGACGTATAATAGCCTAATAAATCGTCCTATAACTAAAAGTAATTTTAAGAGAACAAAATTGAGAGTGATTTATTTGATTTTGGTAGCATATTTGATTTTAATTTAGTTAGGGGCCTGTTGCGTCGGTGAAAAGCAAATTTAGTTATGGGATAATTTAGGGGACTCTTTAGCTTAGGGATCCTCTAATTATGTGATTATTTAGGGTCGTTGGTGAAATCGGGCATAAGTAAATTCATTTACATTTTTAAATAATTATTTCTATCAGTTATTCGACACTACTGAAAACGAGAAGTTGCTAATGTGATATGTTTTCTTTTTAAGTATTACGTCATGATTATAAATGTTTCTGGCATTCTTCACATACGGTGTACTAACACTCCCATCACACACGAATACACTTTTCTCACCAACCTTACTCATCAACTGTATTAAATTAATATCAATAACAATGTCAATAACAGTATCGTTACTGTATCAATGATGACGTCATCATAACTAGACGCTCTAAAATAGTAACACCATAGCGAAAGATTTTGCGTTGTAGTGAAAAAAAAAAAAAGATATTATTATTATTAGTACTTGCATCGGGTTACTTATATTACAGTAGATCAAAGATGAAACATATATTAATAGTGGAAAAGCAAAAAAAAAGTGGTTTCCAGAGTAATAAATTTTGATTTCCTGCGTGTGTTATTATCCGTTTACATTTGACAACGCAGCATAAGGAAAATCAACACTTAAGTGTACAGCTACCGATTTCTATGTCGGTACCGGAAATTGAGTCAGCTTGATCGTGTATTATGTGATTGAAAGCGTGTGCTTGCTCGTGTCAGCTAGTCGTGTTTCTGTGTTAAAATCAATTTACGTGAAAGGAAGTAGTGACGAAAGATAAAAGTTAAATGAACGCCCTAATTTCACAATGCCATACTTTTTGCTTTGCTCGTTTAATGTTTGATTTTTATACGGATTTTGGTTTTTTTCTGCGTTTCATAAGAAAGCTTTATTTATTTTCCTATCGATACTTGTTTCAATCACTTAAGTAGTGATGATAAATGAATAATGATTTTATATACAGGTAAAATTCCTTTTATAAACTTATAATTTTTTTTTCAGAATCTTTGGGAAACAAAATTTAAAAAGCAGCCGGTAGAAACACAAAGAGATAATGCCATATGAAATCGTAATATATGACAATAGGAAACCTTAACGGCTGGCATAAAATATTGGTTAAAGATTAAAACGTAAGCAAGATAGTGTGATAACAACTGGACTTTACAGACATATACACAAAAAATGCATTGCGCCATTGTCTTGAAAGTTGTTACAGAGACATTAAATTATTTCAGTCATAAACTGATATTATGAAAATATTTATGTGATATTTTCAATAAGTCAAAGATTTAATAAGTATATGTTAATATTTATAAAAGTTCGGTGTACGCAAGTAAGAAGTTATATGTCTTTAGCGTAACAAAAGAAAAAGAAATAAATATTTATTAATGGATCACATTAGACAGGGAAATCTGAAATACAATATTAACACAATATTGAGTTTGTAAATACATTCCGTAGAAAATTATAAGCAAAGTATATATCGATGAATAATAAGACATGACATTCCCCGTGAAGCATCCAAAAATAGAATTTTTCATAGAGACGTTTAAAATTGAAAAACTTTCCTCCTTAACAAAACGATTTGTGGGCTCTCACTGAAAGCAGTAATAACACGATTCGGTGTTCTGGCAGAATTCGCATGGGGATAAACTTTTCGAGGTCTTGATACAGGTGTTCCTTACGATATATGTCGTATTTAGGGCATTCTGTATCCACCTAAAGAAAATTTCGCAGAATTGAATTATTCTAGTGTTAAGCTAGAATAGCATAAAAAGTAAGTAATATAAACATATAAGTAATATAATAATATATTTTATTACCATCAAAAACTTTATATACTTGTATTAGGTAGGTATGTAAAGTTTTTGAAGGTAAAAAAAGGTGAAGAATACTTAAGCTATTTTAATCTTACCCTAGATAATCTGAAATTGCATCTATAACAAGAAATACTTAATTATATTATACAATACTAATCTTTGCGTTCGATTGCGTTTCCGAGGCTCGTTGCTAGGCTTGAATTGTTGGGTGGCTGTTACTATATTTTGCCCTCCCTTAATTACAGTTTTTCGTATTTATTAGTCACTAGCGACCCGCCCCGGCTACGCAGGGGTGCTGTGTATTATAATATAAACCTTCCTCTTGGATCTATCTAATAAAAAAACCGCATCAAGATCCATTGCGTAGTTTTAAAGATCTGAGCATACATAGGGACAGACAGACAGCGGGACGACTTTGTTTTATACCATGGAGTGATTGAAAGCTGAAATTTTATTTTGTAATTAGTAATTTCTAAAGTACTACTATAAACCATAAAAACGCTGATTTTTCGCTTTTCTTTTCGAATTTTAAGAAATATGACGTAACATTATTGTATTTCTCTATTTAAAAGAAACAATAGGCGAACACTCCGTAAGCCATTACCTTAACTTTTCATAATTTAAAATTAACGCAAATGTGCGGGAAGTCGATGGATGCAGGTGGCTCAGGATCGTACTTCATGGCAGTCTATGGGGGAGGCCTATGTTCAGCAGTGGACTCAAACAGGCTGAAATGATGATGATGAATGCCATTTGTATATAATTATCCAGCTTTTTTTTAATTTTCACCTTGACCTCGTGTCGCATTTCAGTAAACTACAAGTAATGGAAAATGAGAAAAAATATGAATAGTATATTCGTTTCTATTTTTATTACGAAAAGTACGAAAGTCAAGCACTTATTTGTTGCTTCAGTATTGACAAAACTTTAATACTGTGACAACCAACACATATTCGTTTTAATTTTTTCTCCCAAAACGGTATTTAAACTGTCAGGTTTTTCATGAACTTGAAAATAAAGATCAAAATGGAAATGAGCGTCAAATAGTGTGTCAGGTTTATCCATTGTCTATGTCAACAATAATAATAAACTTAAAATATGACAATACGAATAAACTTTACATTTATTTAAAATACGTTTGAGAATTCTGATTGACGCTTACCCGAATTTTATGTGCAGTCTTACTTCGATAACCACTAACAAAATTACAAGGCATCTGCGCGTTGGTAGTGCGATTTTTTATGTCAAACGTTGGCAAGCGAGCAAGCGGTTCATTACAGCAGGTGAAGTGATTACCGCTATCGATGGACACCTACGTCAACAGACGGATTGCAGATGCGTCACCAACCATTAATAAGTGGTCCCCGCTCACCTCACCTGGTAAAGGTTCCTCGGACGACAGTGCCCATTGGTACAACAGCAGAAGCTATTGAATGGCCACAGTTGTGAGATGCGAAGTGTGTGAGATGATGTGACGGTCCCCACAACAGAGGGAAAAAAAAATATTTACTGAATTTGCAGACTTTCAACCAGAAATTAAGTCCATCTCAAAGTGATAAAACTATCCGTATATTTATTTCTGTCTTCAGTTAAATAGTATATAGGATTTGACTGTTGCAACATTTTAAATAACCCTGTTTTTCCTTCCTTGCATTGCTTCCAAGTAGTGCATGGATCGATATGACTGTATATCACAGTTAACGTGTCAAAGTAGTGGGCCCCGGTTACCACACTTGTATTTTTCCTGGGACAGCCTAGCCATTCATAGAGCAGTAGAAACCGCATCTTCGCCGTAAAAAAAATCTATGTTAAATATTTATTCATTTATTTAAAGTTCCACCAAAAAAGTCTACACCATTACAAACAATAATGAACAATAGCGATGTATAAAACCATTTTACTGTCATCTAAATAAAAAGCAAAAAAAAAAAATTACTTCGCATTATGATGTAAATTTTTGTTTATTTTTGCTGTAAATTCGTATATACGAAATTCGTGAAGCATTTCGCTTTTTTCTTTGAATTATATCGTTTCTTTTTTGCAATAACTATTTTCGAATAACATGTTTTATGATTATCTAACGAGAGTTGATTATTCATATCTTTGTTATTTCATAAGCATTCTTATTCTTTAAAGAATTAATTATTTTTAAAATTTAAGTACAAAATATTAACATGTTTTACAAAATTTGTTTCAACATACACAAATATATGCATTATGCTTAGTAGATAGGGAAACAACTATTTACTATTATAGTTGTTCCCCTGAAAATAATAATTATTGTGCTGGTTAGAAATTATGCGATTTATGTGTGTTTTAATGTTAAGGCCACTCAAAATGATAATTGGAACTAATTTACGCAACACTGAAACAACTTTGTTACATTGCCATATTGTGCTTTAATTAAACTTAGTTTGGAAATCAAACAATACATTCTGGAGTACTTTACTGAACGTAGGAAGTGGGTATTTAATTAAGGTGTTAAGAAGTTTCGAATTTCGTTGTATAAGCGATGCCCCTGGACGGTAATTTTACTTACGGAGAAATTATCATGAATTTGTTACCTTCCTTTATTCATAGATAGAAATAAAATTTATTTTGACAGAAATGGAAATAAATTGAATATGTACATAAAATAAAATGAAATATATAATATAACAAAATGGAAAATCGTGAGGAAACCTGCATATTTTCGAAATAATAACAAAAAAGAAAAATTTCAAATATATGTGAAGTCCGCCAATCCGCAGTGGGGCCGCGTGGTCTAAGCCCTGATACCCTCCGTACAGAGGCGGCCTTTGCCCAGCAGGGGGACATGAAAAAAATGTAAAGGGTAGATGTAATAAGAAATTTATTGTGTATTCATGTATTAAGTTTCCTTCCTCGATTCTCCAGATCACCTTTGTTTTGCATTGATAAAGATATGTCGCGAACTTACTACGTTTATACCACTTTTATCTTTACAGCTATAGGTAGTGAATGGTATAAAAAGTGTAATAAATGGTTGTTGATTACTGTGTTAAATAAAATAGAAAATTAATAATAGCTCTTGGAGTTAATAAAATAACGGCAAAAAGAATGCAGTTAATAAAAAAGGCGCATAAGGAAAGCAGTTCAGGAAATAAGATGGCGGTTTATAGTTCGAAAGGAAATGAACATTAATGTTTTGCTGCGATAGAAATGGTTCTAATTCTTTACGTTTACCAAAGCATGAATCTTAACTTTAACAAAAAAAATATTTCGAAGATATGTGAAGTCCGCCAATCCGCAGTGACTATGCCCTGATACCCTCTGTATAGAGAAGGCCTTTGCCCAGCTGTGGGATATGTATGTATAGTCTGTTACTTTACTTTTTTATAACCTTTTTGTTTGGATGTGTTAATTACTGTTTAATTAAAACAAAAGTAAGGATTCAAAGTATGCAAATTTTTAATACATAAAATTTAAAACTACTTAGCAGAATATGTAGTCCGCAGTCTCATCAAAGACTTATGATAATTATGAAGTAAAATATTAGTAACCCCTTAGTTAGGGAGACCATTAGCAGTCTTTCATTTTAACCTTCTTTTTTATACCTTCTAGTGCCAATAATTAATAACGTGTTTAGACATTATAATTAGTGTGCAATAAGTTATTACACGCATAAAAATTTGGAGATGTTTTATTTTGGGCCACCATTATATGTGTATATACCAGTATGTATTGTACATATATATCGGCGCACGGGTATCGTAAGTAATTAGACGATCTTCTTTCGATCCGGATTAGACAGCTCTGACGTCAGTAGTCGTGGGGATGAATCCCCCACCGTTTCACTCTGGTATAATAGTCCTCCCTCGGCGGTCGATCGGGCATATGCGTCCGATGAAGCTTTAATAGTCTCGGGACTGAAAGCAAAAACATCAGTTAATACAAGATCGATCGGGCATTACGCGTAATAATAATACGCCGAGGTTGAGGCTAGGCGCCTCGCGCGCCAGGCCACCTCAAGCCCGTCGGAACTGTAAAGGCCAACAGTTGCTCATCCAGCCCAAAAAAAAAGGACAATCACATAAAGATAATAATGAGAAATAATGGTGGTTCTACGTCATATGTTCCCCTTCATCTTACATATATAGAAAAAAAAATGAAATAAAATTAATAGGAAGACTAGTGCAATTGTAACAGACTAATTATTCGGGGAGATTTTTTTTTAATATGGCAGCTAATATTTATGGGTAGCCATGACAGTTATGTTTGATA